ACAAGTTTGCAGTGACAAATTTGCTAGTGGTGACACAATTTTTTAAGTGCCTCACTGCACCACCTGATGGTAATTTAAAGCATTCATCAACTAATTTAACTTCCTTTCCGATGAAATATTTTTGGTTAAAAAGTTTTACATAATACAACACTTTTGAGAATTTTTTTACATCATTCTCTAAGTAACAAACATAGTATGAGCACGTTTTTGTTGCCCGCAAATATGATTCCGAGGTATACATAATGCCTTTAATTTTGGCTCGCAAATATAGCTCAATATTAAAGACATCTGTTTGCAAGGCATTACACAGTTTTATAATTTGCAAGCAGACTTGGTCTTCTTTGGCTATTACCTCAAAGGGGATTTTCGCTCCTAAAAATGAATACTTTTCTGGCTGTAAATCTTCTAATGCATATATATGATTAAGCGTATATAAAGCTGAATGGATTTGGCTTGTATTCACTAATTCCAAAGCAATATTATTTTTCCCCTGCACTGAGGTTCTCATTGTGCCATTTGCATTTTCAAAAATAAAAGTGCTAGACGCCCATAAAGGTCCAATATGCTCCACAGAATTTGTGTAATGCAGAAGCATGTGTAAATTGAATGTCTCTTCTAATCTGCCATAAAGTGAACCATACTGAGAGCAATAGTCATTTAATAGTTTATTTGACAATTGTAAATCAGCTTGTGATACAACTGATTTGTCCAATGTATAAATAGCTTCCACTAGCAAGGCGTGGTGTAACAAAAATTTGTCATTTAAAATTCCTTTTAAACACGGCAACGAATAAAAGAGAAGCCAATTTCTATATTCACTTGCTTTCCAAAATGATATATCATCCAATCCTCTTGGCAGCCGAGTTACAAACGATGGAACTCTAATTTTTTTTATTCTTTCATCTACAAGATGAGACATAAGGCCAATGTAAAAGGGTTTTGAGTGATTTTGAGAGTTCAAAATATGCTTTGTCCATCTCTTTGTCACTCCAATGAGGCAAGAATGTAAATAATCTGGAGAGAAGCTATTTATAACATCAAAGTGTGGTAGCATTACAAACGGGCAATGCCCTTTCACACCTTTTTCATGTTCAGGATGCGCTTTTCCTTGTTTAACCCTTTCCTCTCGAGCAGCACCAAATAGTAAATTTGCTTGCTGAATAGATCTTTCCCTTGATCGTGTCAGTGGTTTTCGCAGTCCGCCATACTTTTCATAAGGATAGAGTTTACCTGGGCCTTGTCCCTCTCCTCGACTTGTACATTCAATTTCACAAAATGAGCACCCATATTCTGCATTATAAAAATTCATGTTCATTAAAGGTGCTCTTGCTTGAGCATCAACAGTGCTAGATACAATGAAGAGCCTTGATTTTATATCAGTCTTAGTAAGAGGGTGTCTCCAGGTGAACCCTTCGGTACCTAATGTAAGCATATTTTCTGCGAACGGAATCATGTATCTTAGTAGATTTGGCTTATTTGGAGTGAAACAAATGCTGACAAGAACAATAAATTTTGATCTTAATTTGGGTGGGATATTTCCAATAGCTAAAAAATTTGGCCAAAATTGTTTTTTGTTGCTTTTTGCAAATGGAAAACCATCTGTGTTGTGAATTAAATAGAGATCATATTTGCTTGATTTCTCTATCCTCTTGCTTACAATACCATCCATCACGTCAGTGATTGAAGAATTTAAATTCGAGTTTAAATTATTGTCATTTTTTTCAAATAATGTGGCCAGACCTCTACATTCAAACATATGTCTGATTATAGTTTTAATGTCATTTGTGACACAAACTGCAGGTGATTGTGAAGATTCACATTTTGGACATATTGTAGTTTGCTTGCTTGTAAAAGGTTCATAGCACCTTGAACAGGAATATGAAACTACAGGAGTCTCATTTCCCGGAGTTAGTTGATTAATTATTTTGAAAAAATTGTGCTTTGAAGAGGGAAATATACACGGTTTAGGCAATGCATCAAAGAAAAGTGAAATAATCTCCCCCAAGGCGGATTTTGGAAGCGAATGCTTTTTGTATATAGTCACAAGCCGTATCAAAGTTTCGATTAAAGTCAAGTCACAGCCAGCATATAAGGGATCTTTCAATAGCAATTCCTCTGCTAACCTTTGCAACTCATCAAAATCATGTAAAGTATTCTGCCCACTAATATTCTCACGATTCGCGTAGTTAGCCTCTTCATCGTCGCTCTCAAGGGGTTCATCCTCACTCATGATGTAGTCCAAGAAATCTTCTTCACATTCCAAATTTGATGCCAATGAGGTGTCGACGTCGACGTCAAATGGCTCTGCAGCTAGATATCAAAATAAAAATAATCAATAAATTTTCATGAGCTCCAAATTCTAATTCAAATAATTAACAAACAAAAAACAGTACTAGGTTTTAAATTGGAATAAATAAACTTACAAATATGAGATGCTTCATGGTCTTCCACTTCCAATCTTGTGTCACTAGCAGAAGTCCCGCAGAAACTGTCTGAGCTAGAATCGTCGGAATTTATTTAGATAGATAGAGTATTTATTGAACACAACTAGGTGTACAACGGGTGTCTAAAGCTAATTTGTCTTCCTAAAATTAATTTTACAATTAAGCTTGTTTCGATAATTATTACAAAGTACAAAATTAGTTAATTTTGATTTTTGCAGCCTCTCTTAGGCTTAGTTTACGTTCATTACATTCAAGAATATGATATTGTGAACATTTCTTACCGCAGTGCTTGCATTCACAATCTATTGTCGCTTGAGAATGAAAATTTTTATTCTTACAAAATAAATAGTGGTACCCGTGACAGGCAAATCTCGTAAACACTTGGCGATCACTGAACATTGCACATTGCCAATTTTTATTCTTCATAGTTTCTGTCTCGTAGAACTCATCACATATCTCAAGTTTGTTTAAATATTTAGACATACAAAATTTCTGGAATGCTTCAGTTTCAGTTAGAGAATATTTTACCTGTAAGTCCGATACAAAGAGATCAGTGTCAACTAATTCATACACAAATCTAGATCTAATATACTTGGACAGTCCTAAAACTCTTTTTAAATATCTTGTTTTGACTTTTTCAAGATTTTCAAAATCAGTCTTTGTTAGGAAAGGCCATATTTCTTCAATGCCGTAGGACGCAATTGGGGAAATTTTTAGATCAAATAGCTTGTGTGCTGTTTCAATGGATAATTGTTTTAGTTCTCGTATATTATAAGTGGCCAGCAATGCAGCTCTTGTTCTTTTTTCAATGTGCTTTCCAAAAGAGATTCCTGATGGTTGAAAAGTAACTCCTAAATATGTAAACTCAGCAACTCTCTCTATTTCAATTCCACCTAAATCTAGGCGGTCACTTAATGCATATTTTCCTAGACCCTTATTTCTGAATTTCATGAATTTGCCCTTTTCCAAGTTAAGTTTCAAACTGCGTTTTAACAAAAATTCTTTCATTCTGGCTAAAGCAATTTTCAAGTCACTTAATTTTTCTGAGGTTAAAACAATATCATCTGCATAATAAATGGCTTTCACGTTTGGCAAATCTCGTAGAATATTATTTATATCAGCTAAAGAGTAATTGAACAGAAATGGGGACGTGCATCCCCCCTGTCTTACCCCATTTGATTGTGTAATAAGTTTTGATACTGTTACTCCATCTACTATTCTCAAGAAATTTAAGTCTAAGTTGTGAGCTAAATAATTTAACTCCGTGAACGTTAGCTTCTTGCTTTCTATTAACTTCTTAAAAATAAACGCCCTATCTATTGAGTCAAAAGCTTTACTAATTACATCCAAAAATAAGGCATATAAGGGTGATTTCTTCTTATAAACTGTCTCTTGAATGTTATTAACTAAGGACTTAATTGCCTGTAAAGTGGATTTTCCTTTCACAAAACCATATTGATTGCCTGGAATCTCGTGAATCAAAGATGAGTAGATACGTGCATGCAGTACACGATCTAACAGATTGTAAAAAGCCGAACTAATACATATTCCTCTATATGAATTTGTATTTTCCGCGTCCCCTTTTCCCTTATACAAGAGTTTTAGATTTGACTGCCTCCATTCCTCTGGACATGTTCCTAGCTCCAAGCATTTGGTGAAAAATTGCGTTATTTCGGGGAGTAAGGATTCAACAAGTAGTTTAATATTTTCATTCTTCACTTTGTCAGGTCCAGGGGAATTTATTTGCAAATCCAATAATCTGATGTTTGTTCGTATATTCTGAAATCAATTAAAGACATTTGTAAATATATAGTATTCAAAGTTAAGGGCGTGGGGAAACAAATTCATATTGAATTGTGCTTCAATTTTTTACATATGTACCTTTGCTATGCAGAGACCACTCGAACGCGGTCTTTTCTCTGGAGGTGGCATTGTAAATAAAGAATGTGTGGTCAATACCGATATTCACACGCAAAGTAGACAAAATTAATATACTTAATTTAAAAATATCAGTAGAGATCGAGATTTACGTGCTTTTTTTCGTTTTTCCATAACAAAATAACATACCACGCCCCCTTTTGCGGTTTGACGTTGTTGGCTTTTGATAACCGGTTTTCCAGCAGGGGCCTTGAAATTTTGGTAAATCTTACTAATAACTTCAAAATAATGTGAGCCAATTGTGATAAAAATGAAAGAACAACGTTTATATTCATCTTAAATGTTATCTAGGGTTTTAAACGGCACAAAATAACACTTCAAAAACTGTAAAAAATCGCGGTTACGGTTCATTTTTATACCGATTTGTTACTTCCTCCAAGGGAAAAAAATACCAACGTGATGCATTAAATGATAACAACAATAAAATATGTTTTCAAATATAATTTAAAATGCTGCTTAGTATAAAATAAACAAGTTTAAATTTTGAAAAAAAATTAAGTTATTTAACATCAACCATGTTGCTTTATGCTGAATCGCAAATTAAGCTGGTAATTTTGTTATGTTGGCAACTATCGACGCCATGACCATGCTCAACAAAAAATTTGTTGTGCACCTCCTCTTCCGGTGCAAACCAATTTGTCACAATCGTCAAAACAATAATTTTCCACCTGAAATCGATTATTTTGTGGTGAAAAGGGTCACCCTGAAGAGTTCGATGTGTCTGAAAATCGGTAGTCAAGAGCCCAAATATTTGGGCAGCTCAAGGACGCGGAAAAAGCAGCGTGATCGCCTAAAAGTGAAGCGCTTTAGTTTGGGCAAGTTCCACACCGCAGATCACATTGAAATCCGTGTATTTCATCTTTTATTCAATTGAGCAGCCCAAAACGATGGAAAATCCAAAGGCTTATTGGGTTAGAGTGAAGTTTAAAGGTTACGAAGAGGACTACTCTTCTGATGATTTGAAGGAACTCTCAGGAAAGAAAATTGGATTTTCGCTCAAAGGCATGGCTGTGCGTGTCGACAACTACCAAGGCCACATCATTGCTTTTGCAGGTACTTATCTTTTGTTTTCAGTGGCTTGTAATTCCTTTGTTTTATTTAACTTCTTAGTTAAAATAAGTGAAGTTTATTTTTCTTAATTTTAGAGTCACAAGAACAACTTGTACGAGATTTTGGCAGCCTTGGCCCCAAAAAATTGCTTTATTTTCCTCCAAAAAACCCTAAAAGGCAGCCAAAAAAGAATCTTCTCTTGGAAGAATTCCTTTCTCCAGCGTCTGAGAAAAATGCAAAGAGGACCAGCCAACAAAAGAGGAAAAACAAAAGCATCCAATTACAAAATAAAAAACAGGTATTTTTTATGACAAGAGAGAATTAAAATTTTGGAGATCTGTAATTTAAAGAGTATTATATTACTGGTTTGAAATGTGAATATCTGTAATATTAACTAGAAATTTATTTAATTATACTTAGGTGAAGAAACACGTGGTGAATCAAATTGATCATGATAATTTGCACCTTCAAACATTCGTCACTAACTCGGCCAATGAAAGACCAACTGAATGCAGCAAGCAAAGAGAATCAGCTTCTTCCATGATGACCGAATTTGAGAAATACAAGAGCTTTTATGAGAAGTTTCATGCTGCTGGACAACTAGGCGGTAAGTTAAATAATGTGATTTTTTAATTTCTTCAGATTTATAACTCGTTATTTTAGAAAAAACGCCTGCAAAGGATTCTTCACAGGGGATGCCCGTTAAGACTGCCAAGCCTACAAACACTGATATAGTGTATGAAACTGAGTCAGAAGGTATAAATATTTTGTCTGTTAAAGGATATTTATGTATTGAATTCTTTTTCAAGGAGTCGTATCTGATTCAGAAAGTGAATCTGGTGCCCCAACTATATCACCAGTTAAGCAAAGTGCTCCTGAACAGAACATGATGCTGGAAAATTGCGATGATGAACAAGAGCAGGAAGAATCTCACCACGATGAAGAAAAGTCTACCCACGATCAACAGGGGGAAGAGGAGGAGGAAGAAATTCGTCCAATACGCTCAAGGTATGTTATTTTATTGTAGGGAATTGATAAAGTTTAATTTTTTTCATCTGAAATAATTTAGAGACGAGGACGAGATTTTAAAAGCATATCGAGACAACAGTGAATTCCAATTGAAGTGGACCCTTCTCCCTGAAGATCAAAAAAAAGATGTAAGTATATTATTAATCATAAAATATTTGAACAAAAAATAATTTTAAAATTTATATTTCAGTTTTACGTTTATAAGGAAGGATCAAAAGAGGTGTGGCTCCAAAAAAATGGCGTCAGGAAAGCAAAGAAATCAAGTGGAACGCCTTTTGAGCTGCTCTCTAGCCTCGTGAAGCTCGGTTACAAGCGAGATGCATTGCGGAAATGCACACTTGATGGTTCAGCAAGGGGCGGAAAAGGAAGAAGGCCATGCCTTCACAAGCCAGCTTTAAATGCAATATTTAGTAAGCTAAATTCTTCAATGCAAAATGTAAATAAATAACTGAAATGTGTCACAGAAATTGTTCGATCAGTTGCAACTGATGTTCAGGAATCCAAGAAAAAGATTTACCGGAAAGAAGAGGATCAATCTGCCACTGCCAAGTCACCAAGAGGACGGAAGAAAAAGTCCTGGAGCAAGATGATGGACTTGGTTGTTGTTCTGAAGTATGCTGATGTCTGGAAGGATGAGTTCATCGAAGAGAAAAATCTTCGCAAAATGGTTGTGAAGATCCTGAGCAACATCAGAAACACTCCAAAAAGGAAGACAAGCAGCAACCCATTGTAACGTAAATGTTACCATTTGGAAATAAACAAACTTCATTATTTCCAGAAAGAAAATTGTGTTTCTTTTATAATCAGCACTGCTTCGGTAAGGAAAACACTGGTTTAGGAGGGTCGTGTGTCTAATTTCGCCTTTTTTCCCTGAGTTGAAGGCCATGGCATCTGCACATGTGCCGTGGAGGTCACCACAAGGGTACGCTGCCCAGCCACCCATAAATTGTGGCCCTTCTTACGGACATACAGAAAATAGAGCAAAATTCCATCATCCAGCATGGCCCGAAGGAACTCCACCCACCCCCGGACAGGAGATGGCGCCAAACCCTCTGCAAAATGGAAACAATGGACCAGTTCTCAACTCAGGAGGTTTTGGACAGACTTACGCAGGAGGTCCGGCTCCTCCGGGAGCTGTAGTAACGTTGGAGGAAATCATTCAGCGTGTTTTCCAGCATGTCACGCTGCAATTCTCAAATCAGCTCAAAATTCAGAATGACCAACTTGGCGAAATGTTCAGTAAAACAGTATCTTTGATGCAGGAGGAATTCGAAAAGGAACGTTTGTCCTGGAAGGAGAGAGATGAGAAGCACGAGGCTAAGCTGAGGGAGCTTGAGCGGAAGGTCCTTTTCTACGAGAAGAATGCAGAAAATGAGTCGAGCGGTACAGATAACAGACGGAGGCAATTTCACGGCAGGTATCAGAGAGGTTATTATCCACCAATTGCTCCTCTGACAAAGGCTGATGACACACCCTGCGTGAACCAATACATCGATCGCTCTGCCCAACTCGATGAGGCCCTGAAGAATGATGAGTCGCTCGCAGTGGAGGGAGCCAAGGTCAAGTTTGTTGAACATCAAGGGGTCAGTCTACTGGATGCCAAGCAAGAGATAAAGGCACACGCCATAGCCTCTGATCTCTGGACCAGCATGGGGGCTGCACAAGAGGTTACGGCGGCGGTGGGCAAACCGAAAGCTGAGCCGGGAAAGACTGAAATAGGCGGAATCATCAGAGAGAAGACTGAAAAGTACGGTACTGTGTTTCACGTGGTAACTAAAATGAGGTCCCCCCACAAGTTGCACAAAGCACCTGAGCCTTTCCTAAAGGGAGTGAAGACTGCATTTGCTAAGCTGGCCCAAGTCATTCGAGAGGAAGAGATTGATGAGATTGCAATGACCTACATGTGCAGTGGCATGGACAGGCTGCATCGCCTCTGGGTCTTGGACACTCTGTACGAAGAACTTCGAGATGTCCCAGTCACTGTTCATCTGTACAACAAGTATATCTCCAAACGCTGGGGAAACTGTGGAAATTTGTTCAACCCAAAGGAGGCCGGAGAGGAAGAAGAAGAGACTGGAGGGAAGCCGGATGACGAAGAGCAGCTAAATGATGCCCCTAATTCGCAGACTGTTGCACCCAGGGAGAGAAGCAAGCGCAACTGTGGTGCTCGTGAGAAACTTTCTTTATAGATTTCCCTTGTCGAAACAGCGACGTGAGTAACTTAAAATTAGGGCTTTGGAATTGTGAAGGGCTTACGAAAGCATATGAATCTCCGATTGCAACAGAACTGCAAAATTATGATATTCTTCTTTTCACGGAAACATTTTTAAAGAAACCACTTCACATTCCTGGTTTTTATTCAAGGCAAGTTTTAGCTTCACAAAAGGAGGCAGGGCGACCGATGAGGGGAATTTCCGTGTATTTTAATTCCAGGTTAGGAAATTTACTAAATGTGAAATATTTGGAAAACTTCATAATTCTAAATTTTGATGACATTACAGTAGTAACATGCTATTTAAATCCGAAGATACGTTCTACAACAGTGACTAATGAACTTCTCTCAATCCTTAAATATGTTGAAAATTTTGAAAATTTCATTTTGGCTGGAGACTTTAATTGCCGACTGGATACTAAAAACAGAAAAATTGACTCGCTGCTTGATTTTGCTGAGGAAAACAGTCTGACAATAGTAAATGAATATCCATATAAAAGTACCTACGACTGTAGTAATGGTCATGGTGTGGTTGATTTAATCTTCAAAGGGCCAAAAATTTACACCGAAAATTTTAAAATTTGCCCAACCATAAGAAAACATAATTTTATTTCAATAGAATTTAATTTCACAAAACAAAAGAACAGAAATGGGGACATGTCTTTGAATAAGAAAAATTTTAAATTAGATGAAAACATACTTAAAGAGCTTATTGAGGAGAAAATAATTCTCGAGGCAGAGCAAGAAGCGCACAAGTTTTTAAAACAGCCAATTGAAATGATTGAAAAAGTTCAAAACCCCATTGACCTTGAAGATTGGATAAAACATATGAATAAAATATTAAACTGTGAAAATTTTGAAGCAGAAGATAGCTTAGAGTTAAAATCACTTTTAAATAATTACAATGACAATATAATTTGCGAGCCAATATCTGATGCCGAAATTATCTGGGCTGTTAAAAACTTGAAAAATAAAAAAGCCCCAGGCCCCGACCTGGTAACAAATGAGAATATTAAATCTCTAACTCAATTCATGCTTCCACTTTTCAATAAATTTTTTAACAAATGTTTGAATTTGGGCAAAATTCCGAAACAATGGAAATTCTCAACAATGAAATTGTTGTACAAAAATAAAGGCAAAACAAATGATTGCAACTCATACAGAGGCATTTGCCTTAGTAACACATTGTGTAAATTGCTAGATAAAATTTTAGGTAGAAGAATAATGGAAAATTTCAAAACCATAATTCCAGAGGAGCAATACGGCTTTATGCCAGGTCGGTCAACTCTCGAGGCTGCTCAAAAATTGCAATCAAAAATTATTGAAACTGTGAATGAAAAAGGCACTAAAATGTATGCTATTTTTATTGATCTGACCAAGGCTTTTGACCTTTCAAACAGAAAAATTTTGCTCCAAAAAATAATTGGGAAAAATAAAATGTCAAAACTAGAATTAAATTTATTGGCTGAATTTTTAGATTTAGATTTTATAAGTATTAATGATGGCATTTCTCAGTCTGAGCCATTTGTTGAGTCTAATGGATTTAAACAGGGCATGAATTCCAGTCCCCTCTTGTTTAATATTTATATTTCCGACATTGTGAGGATCTTTGAATCCATCGAAGGAGTTGATTTCTATTTTTATGCAGATGATATGGTTTTTATAAGTAAAGATGTAAATAAAATTAAGAAAGTTATGCAAAAATTTGTTGAGTACGCCACAGAAAATAGCTTAAAACCTAACTATTCTAAAACTAAAATAATGAAATTCACAACAGGAGGCAAGGGAAAATATGCGGAAAACGACAAAATTGTTATCGATGGCCATGAAATTGAATATGTTAAAAGTTTCCCATATTTAGGAATTTATTTCCAGAGGTCAGGTAGAGATTTCACTGAACATATAGAACAGAGAAATGAAAAAGCACTTACTGCAATGAATATGTACGGAGATTTGCGAAAATTGTCTATTGATTGTGCGAAAAAATTGTTTGATTTGAAATTTGCTCCGATGGCCTCTTACGGCATTGAAGTGATCTGGCAATATTTAAGTGAGAGTGATTTTGAAAAATTAGAAAAAGTGAAATCTCGCTATTTTAAGAAAGTTATGGGAGTTTCGAAATATAACAAGAACACCTATGTGTACAAACTAGTTGACGAGAAATTATTTGTAAATGACTTAAAAGAAAAATACGATCTCCCGGAGACTGAAAATTATTTAAAGTTCCTTGAGAGTTATAATTCTGAACATGACATTAGATTTAATGTTAACTTTAATGTCACACCGGCAATGAGAAATGATGTATGGAAACAACCCTTATTTGATAAACGCCATGTTTTTTGTCGATATGCCATGCACGGTTTTCACAACCAAATCTGTAGCAATAGTTCCGAGCGACAGCAGTGCTTCGATGAAAGTGATTCCTGCGTGTGTTTGCTATGCGGTGAGAAATGCACCCAGTACCACTTGGCCGAGTGCAAAAATCGCATCCTTAGTATTAATGACTATTCAAAAATGAAGTGAAAGACTTTGAATTTATTTTGTCGCGCACCACATTGAAAATTGTTTTGTAAAATTTTTTAAGTTAAGTTGAAGTTGTACTCAAATGAGTTTCAAATAAAAGAATATATAAAGAGCTTATTGAGACTAAATATAAAAATATTCTAAAAACAAATCTGGAAAAGGGGGACGTTGAAGAGTTTTATAAAAATATGATAAATATTATGAAAGAGGCCGACATTCCTCGTAGGCAAACTGAACGGATTAGTCAACCGTGGTTTGATTCTGAATGCTACGAATTAAAACAGAAATTGAACGAATGGAGAGAGTGCTTGGAAGTGGCTGAAAGTTTAAATGTAACTAGTATAATCAAGATTCTATTACCGCACTATACCGCAATAAAAAGAAATTACAAAAATATGTGTGAAATGAAGAAGAACGCTTTTGTGCAAATGAAGGAGTTGGACATTTTAAAAGAGGCGGAGCAGAACAAGTGCTATAAAATTCTCAAGTTGAGCAAAAGTTTTTACAATACAAACAATATAATGATGGATGAATGGGAGTGCAATTTTGAAAAAATTTTCAACGAGAAAAAATTGAGTGAAAATGAATCGTTAAATCTGAAAGAGATGATAGTAGATTACAGAAATGATATAAATTTTTCACCTATTATGGAAGAAGAAGTTTTGTTAGCATTAAAGAAAATGAAAAACGGGAAATCCCCTGGACCTGACAAAGTGAAGAATGAAAATATTAAACTACTTGTTGAATCCTTACTCCCCGAAATAACGCAATTTTTCACCAAATGCTTGGAGCTAGGAACATGTCCAGAGGAATGGAGGCAGTCAAATCTAAAACTCTTGTATAAGGGAAAAGGGGACGCGGAAAATACAAATTCATATAGAGGAATATGTATTAGTTCGGCTTTTTACAATCTGTTAGATCGTGTACTGCATGCACGTATCTACTCATCTTTGATTCACGAGATTCCAGGCAATCAATATGGTTTTGTGAAAGGAAAATCCACTTTACAGGCAATTAAGTCCTTAGTTAATAACATTAAAGAGACAGTTTATAAGAAGAAATCACCCTTATATGCCTTATTTTTGGATGTAAGTAAAGCTTTCGACTCAATAGATAGGGCGTTTATTTTTAAGAAGTTAATAGAAAGCAAGAAGCTAACGTTCACGGAGTTAAATTATTTAGCTCACAACTTAGACTTAAATTTCTTGAGAATAGTAGATGGAGTAACAGTATCAAAACTTATTACACAATCAAATGGGGTAAGACAGGGGGGATGCACGTCCCCATTTCTGTTCAATTACTCTTTAGCTGATATAAATAATATTCAACGAGATTTGCCAAACGTGAAAGCCATTTATTATGCAGATGATATTGTTTTAACCTCAGAAAAATTAAGTGACTTGAAAATTGCTTTAGCCAGAATGAAAGAATTTTTGTTAAAACGCAGTTTGAAACTTAACTTGGAAAAGTGCAAATTCATGAAATTTAGAAATAAGGGTCTAGGAAAATATGCATTAAGTGACCGCCTAGATTTAGGTGGAATTGAAATAGAGAGAGTTGCTGAGTTTACATATTTAGGAGTTACTTTTCAACCATCAGGAATCTCTTTTGGAAAGCACATTGAAAAAAGAACAAGAGCTGCATTGCTGGCCACTTATAATATACGAGAACTAAAACAATTATCCATTGAAACAGCACACAAGCTATTTGATCTAAAAATTTCCCCAATTGCGTCCTACGGCATTGAAGAAATATGGCCTTTCCTAACAAAGACTGATTTTGAAAATCTTGAAAAAGTCAAAACAAGATATTTAAAAAGAGTTTTAGGACTGTCCAAGTATATTAGATCTAGATTTGTGTATGAATTAGTTGACACTGATCTCTTTGTATCGGACTTACAGGTAAAATATTCTCTAACTGAAACTGAAGCATTCCAGAAATTTTGTGTGTCTAAATATTTAAACAAAAACTTGAGATATGTGATGAGTTCTACGAGACAGAAACTTTGAAGAATAAAAATTGGCAATGTGCAATGTTCAGTGATCGCCAAGTGTTTACGAGATTTGCCTGTCACGGGTACCACTATTTATTTTGTAAGAATAAAAATTTTCATTCTCAAGCGACAATAGATTGTGAATGCAAGCACTGCGGTAAGAAATGTTCACAATATCATATTCTTGAATGTAATGAACGAAAACTAAGCCTAAGAGAGGCTGCAAAAATCAAAATTAACTAATTTTGTACTTTGTAATAATTATCGAAACAAGCTTAATTGTAAAATTAATTTTAGGAAGACAAATTAGCTTTAGACACCCGTTGTACACCTAGTTGTGTTCAATAAATACTCTATTCTATATTTTTATGATCAAAATTTTTAACTATAAATAATCATAAAAGATAATGACATAAAAGTCCTTAAATAATGTACAGGAAATGCCTAATATTAGCCCTTATTTAGTAGTACTTTTACCAAGAATAATGACTAAGAAGTCCTTATCCTGTTAGTCATTTTTGACGACTTTTAAGGACTAAGGGAAAAGGACTTAAAAGTCCTTGTAAAATATAAGATTTTTCACCTGAGAACGTATCTTCGGATTTAAATAGCATGTTACTGTAATGTCATCAAAATTTAGAATTATGAAGTTTTCCAAATATTTCACATTTAGTAAATTTCCTAACCTGGAATTAAAATACACGGAAATTCCCCTCATCGGTCGCCCTGCCTCCTTTTGTGAAGCTAAAACTTGCCTTGAATAAAAACCAGGAATGTGAAGTGGTTTCTTTAAAAATGTTTCCGTGAAAAGAAGAATATCATAATTTTGCAGTTCTGTTGCAATCGGAGATTCATATGCTTTCGTAAGCCCTTCACAATTCCAAAGCCCTAATTTTAAGTTACTCACGTCGCTGTTTCGACAAGGGAAATCTATAAAGAAAGTTTCTCACGAGCACCACAGTTGCGCTTGCTTCTCTCCCTGGGTGCAACAGTCTGCGAATTAGGGGCATCATTTAGCTGCTCTTCGTCATCCGGCTTCCCTCCAGTCTCTTCTTCTTCCTCTCCGGCCTCCTTTGGGTTGAACAAATTTCCACAGTTTCCCCAGCGTTTGGAGATATACTTGTTGTACAGATGAACAGTGACTGGGACATCTCGAAGTTCTTCGTACAGAGTGTCCAAGACCCAGAGGCGATGCAGCCTGTCCATGCCACTGCACATGTAGGTCATTGCAATCTCATCAATCTCTTCCTCTCGAATGACTTGGGCCAGCTTAGCAAATGCAGTCTTCACTCCCTTTAGGAAAGGCTCAGGTGCTTTGTGCAACTTGTGGGGGGACCTCATTTTAGTTACCACGTGAAACACAGTACCGTACTTTTCAGTCTTCTCTCTGATGATTCCGCCTATTTCAGTCTTTCCCGGCTCAGCTTTCGGTTTGCCCACCGCCGCCGTAACCTCTTGTGCAGCCCCCATGCTGGTCCAGAGATCAGAGGCTATGGCGTGTGCCTTTATCTCTTGCTTGGCATCCAGTAGACTGACCCCTTGATGTTCAACAAACTTGACCTTGGCTCCCTCCACTGCGAGCGACTCATCATTCTTCAGGGCCTCATCGAGTTGGGCAGAGCGATCGATGTATTGGTTCACGCAGGGTGTGTCATCAGCCTTTGTCAGAGGAGCAATTGGTGGATAATAACCTCTCTGATACCTGCCGTGAAATTGCCTCCGTCTGTTATCTGTACCGCTCGACTCATTTTCTGCATTCTTCTCGTAGAAAAGGACCTTCTGCTCAAGCTCCCTCAGCTTAGCCTCGTGCTTCTCATCTCTCTCCTTCCAGGACAAACGTTCCTTTTCGAATTCCTCCTGCATCAAAGATACTGTTTTACTGAACATTTCGCCAAGTTGGTCATTCTGAATTTTGAGCTGATTTGAGAATTGCAGCGTGACATGCTGGAAAACACGCTGAATGATTTCCTCCAACGTTACTACAGCTCCCGGAGGAGCCGGACCTCCTGCGTAAGTCTGTCCAAAACCTCCTGAGTTGAGAACTGGTCCATTGTTTCCATTTTGCAGAGGGTTTGGCGCCATCTCCTGTCCGGGGGTGGGTGGAGTTCCTTCGGGCCATGCTGGATGATGGAATTTTGCTCTATTTTCTGTATGTCCGTAAGAAGGGCCACAATTTATGGGTGGCTGGGCAGCGTACCCTTGTGGTGACCTCCACGGCACATGTGCAGATGCCATGGCCTTCAACTCAGGGAAAAAAGGCGAAATTAGACACACGACCCTCCTAAACCAGTGTTTTCCTTACCGAAGCAGTGCTGCCTTTTTTCATTGTTGTTCATTGTTATTCTTACAAAATAAATAGTGGTACCCGTGACAGGCAAATCTCGTAAACACTTGGCGATCACTGATCTTTTTAACTATTAATTAAATCAATTTTTGCAATTTTTACAAGAGAATAAGCTAAAATTAATTAAATTTTGAATTTTATGTATTTAATTCTAGGGGTAGTGGATGAACAGCAGGATTTGTCCTTGTCTCCAGAAAACTCCAGCGGCAGCAACAGCGTCACCGGTGCAAATTGGAAAAATGATTTGTCCAAAAGTGTGTTCACGTATCCAATCGATGAGGATTGCACCCTGATAGCCAGGTGCTGCTTGGAACCAATTCTGAAAGAGGAAGAGGACGAAAGTAAGATTGCTCCAGAGCCTGTTGTGCAGCCTGCAACAGCTGAAATTGTTTCTGATGAAGTTTCTGCTCTTCCGAAATTTCATATTACTCGACCTGCTAGAATCACTGATAAGAGAGGTAATTTTTATTATGTAAAATTACATACATTAATATTTCTTAAATTTTTTAGTTTTCATTTATGATTATTAAGAATTTGGATGATGTATCTATTATAGGCAGAGATTGCCTCTTGTGGTACACCAGTAACTTTATTTGAAACTATGATTAAATTTATTATTTAATTTGAAATTGTAAAATTTCAAAAAATTTACTTAAAATTTAGGAAACATAGGTGAGATTTTGAAGCTGCACGCCAATTTCTACCTGTTGCTGGAAGTGGCTTCCTTGCCAATCTTCAAGTACGTTGCCAAAACCACTCCTCACTTTGATGCAGGAGACAACACATTCAAAGCTGTGCTTCAGGGATGTGCCGATGTTCTTGGAAATTTTGTTTTAGAGGGCAACGTCCTTTACTGCACTAAAAAGCTCTCTGGAAATGTTAGTTTGATTTATTTAGAATACAAAATATGCTCTTTAATTTGTTTTTCTATTTTCAATTCCAGGCTTGTAAAATGTTCAGTGTGCACAAAGACAAATCTTACTTTGTGAACCTGGTGCGCGTCGACGAAGTTGGTGAACAGGAACGAGTTGACTTGTTGAACCATTTGATGAAGAAGATCCTACGTGCGTTTGGCTTCTTCCAAGCTGGCAGGGCCTTTTTTAAAAAGGATATAAACTCGGTTATTATCCTGAAATTTTTGCACTAATCAAACATCTCAAAAAATGTATTTTGTTTTTAAATGCCCTGTGTGGTCTTCTATTTTGCAGCTGAAACAAAAGTCTGACCGTCTTGATGGTTGGTCGACCAAGCCCGGTTACCTGCCGAAGGTGCTTTCCTGTGACGGCGGCACCTTTTTCAATGTGGATTTGGTGCACATGGCCATCAAACCAGATACTGCTCTCGACTTGCTGCAGCACTTTCAAACCAATCGCAAAAATTGGAATGCTGTTTTTAAGGATGTCATTGTTGGACAGCATGTGGTCACCGCATACAACGGACGCGTTTATAAAATTACTGGCGTCAACTCAAAATACAGTCCGCTGACGGAGTTTCTCTACAAGGACAGCAAAATAACTTTCATCAGATATTATGAAATGGTTTATATCTTATCTTAATATTGATTTTTTTTTCATTTTTGTTACAATTTATACTATAGGAATTTGGAATTCAAATCAAGAATACAAAGCAGCCTCTGTTGGTTTCAAACATCCGATCAGCAGATTTCCCCACATCCGAAGTATATCTAGTACCAGAGCTGTGCCGTCTGACTGGCATCACCACTGAGCAAAGGCGAGATTTCTTCTTGGTCAGAGGACTTCAGGATGAAGTCACTAGCTATCCTCAAGTGCTCAAGCACAAAATCGATGACTTCATCAAGTCTCTCATTGAAACCAAAAATGAAAAGGTACATAATTAATTTAAAACAAAATATTTTTATCATGGCGCCAAACCGAATATTAATAGTTGCATTTAAAAATATATTATGCTGTTTTTACTTTAAAAAAATGTTAAATTCTAGTGAAAAGATTTAAAACTTTTATAGCATTTTGTATAATCTAATACTAATATTTATTAATGCATTTTTGCATACATTTTTTTCAGGCAAAGCACATCATGTCCGAGTGGAAACTAAATTTAAGCAGCGAAATGGCCAGCCTCGAGGGACGCCACCTGCCACTAGAAGTTGCCAGGGTGGGTCACAGCAGCGTCAATAAAAATTTGAATACTGTGAAAAACTTGTTCGATTGGACCGAGGATTGGCGCAGTGAGTATTACAAAAAATAGTCGAATCAATGTATATTATTTCAATTTTTTTTTAAAGCCTACAAGATGCTGAGCTGTGTGCCCATCAAGAAGTGGGTTGTGGTGGTGCCGTCTTCTGTGGTGAAGCCGCTTGAACGGTTTATCAGCCTTTTGCAGTCCACAAGCACCAACCTGGGCATAGAAGTGGCCAAGCCGTTTGTGATTCAAATTGAATCTGATGAATCCAATTGCTTCTTGCGGGAGCTGAAGAAACTCTTTGCTAAAGAAAAACCACAACTTGTCCTTTGTATTCTTATTAAAAACCGAGAGGACAAGTACCGGGCCATCAAGAAACTCTGCTCTGTTGATCATGGGGGTACATATTTTATTCTCATTATTTTTTTAATATTTTAAATCTGAATTAAAATTTATTTTAACTTTTATTTTAAGTGCCGAGTCAAATTGTGACCAAGAAAAGTATGGACGTGAAGTATGACTTGCCCATCACTAAACGTCTGGTCGTGCAGATGAACTGCAAGGTGGGAGGCACCCCTTGGAGTGTGCAGGTGCCACTGCGGATGGCCATGATTGTTGGAATCGACATTGGTGTTGATTGTCACAATAAAAATGTGACTTTTGGGAGCGTCGTTGCCTCTTACAACTGCGACTTCTCAAAATACTTCTCAAGCACTTTCACAGTTGCCAGCAAAGATTGGGAGGAACTGAGCCGCCTTGTCTGTGAGCACATCGCCAAAGCCGTCCATTACTTTAAGATGCACCATAAAAAACTGCCGTCTGTTGTCATTGTCTACCGAGATGGTGTTCCAAACAAATTGCTGCCCCACGTCTTCACAAGAGAAGTTCCGTTGATGAAGGTAATTTTTATTATTTATAGTAATTCATCTAATTCTTTTTCTTTGTTCCTTTTTCTTTTTCCAATTTAATTTTAATTTTATTTTAGAAGTGGCTTAATGAAATCTACAAAAATGATCAATGGCACCTGAGTTACATTGTGGTCAACAAACACTGCAACGCCAAAGTCTTTGGCAAGAAGAACACTCATTTGCAGACGGGCACTGTAGTCGATTCATGCATTACTCAACCTGAAAGGTAGGAAAATCGATCTTTTTTAATGAACTTCGCTCTACGTTTTGATTTTTGTTTTCATCTTTTTACCAATAGGTACGACTTTTTCCTCCTAAGTGGACTAAACCACACTCGCAAAGTTTCTTCGTTCACTTACTACAATGTACTCTTCGACAACACGTGCCTCTCACCCGACCGCCTGCAGAGACTCACCTACAAGATGACCCATCTCTATTTTAACATCAAAGTAATTTTAAGAATATGTGAAAGGAAAAAATGATTATCTTAATATATCAAATCAGGGAACCGTTCGTGTGCCTGCCCCACTAAGGTACGCCACTCGTCTTGTGTACATTGTGAGCAACACACTTCACCAGACGCCGCACCCCCGACTTGGACATCTGCTACACTTCCTTTGAATTTGAAGTTTTCCCTGAAGCATCACAAGTGTCACACAAGAGGTAAATTTACATTGAAATGCATTACAAATTTAATAACCTCAGTTGATTCAAAATAACATGTTTATAAATTATTACACACAAATTATATACCTGTAAAAATTTTATTTATTTTGTACAGCCTAATTACCGCGTTTTTAACCTTTAAAATTAGTTAAAATTTTCTATGCTTTTTTAAAAATTATAGATAACTAGTATAAATTTACATAATTTAAACTATTTTTAACGTCTGGGAAATTTTAATTTAAAAAAAATTAATTTTTTTTAAAAAAAATTTTTTTCGTGAAAAACGATTACTTAAAGGTAATCAATTGTCGTGTGTAAAAACTTATTAAAACACTTTTAAAAATTAGTATATTATTTAATTATTAATTAAGTAAGAGTCTTTTATAAATATAATTAAATACTAAACTAATTTAATTTGCGGTTTTTGTAAAAAAAAATTAATTTTTGGAGGTAAAATAAAATTTTAAAATAAAAAAACTATACAAACTATTAATTTGTATTAATTTTTTAAGCGCTTTATTCATGTGTAATTTTGATTCAAAAAAATTATTTTTTTTTCGAAAGGGGGGAGTCTTGCCTACCTGAATTTTTACTTTTTTTAGATTAGCTCAGTAATAAATTCAACCAGTATTTTAAATGAAACATAAATAAAAATAATTGTTTATTTTACTTTAAATTAAACTTAAATTTAATTTAAATACGGTGAGTAAGTAAAACCTGGATTTAAAAACTAATTTTTAAGGTGGTGGTGTATTTACGGGTTATTAATAGCAAGGGGGGGAGGGGGGAATTTGAAGTTTTCCCTGAAGCATCACAAGTGTCACACAAGAGGTAAATTTACATTGAAATGCATTACAAATTTAATAACCTCTCAAATAAAGTTTTACAAATTGATCTACAACTTGTGACATAATTATTTATATCTCACTTAGAGAAAAAGATGTGTTCTAAGTAAATAAAATAAGCATTAGTTGTCTTAAACAGATTTTTAGTTCAATGGTTAAAATGTACATTTGCATTGTGAGAACAGCAGACAGAGTAACTTCAACAAGCAATGGCAACGGACCTCTTGTCGCGGTGTTTAGCCCTTGAAATGGTCCTTGCTTTGAAGGCGGCAGCATTCACCAAGTGCTGGAAACAATTTTTAATGATTCTTTTAACTTTTTGTTTCTTTAAAAACATACCCTTTCAAGTTTAGTAGCCTTCTGTGTGGGATCAGCTGCAGTCAGAGGAGCACCCAGTGCAAAAACTTGTCTCAGTAGTTCGTTTTGAGCAAGGTGGAGGTTCAGGCCAGAGCCGAGAACTTGGCAGAAGGCCTCGTAGTGCTTCCTGGATGCCCACGTGTCCAACTCGAGCGCTTCTGTGCCAAAACGAATCTTCAACTCGGGCGCCCGTCCTTCTTCAATGAATGCCAGTATCTCTCGGAAGGAGCTGCGTTGGGCCTTGCGCTCCTTCTTTGCGCGGAAATGACTCGAGTCAGTCGCCAAAGCAGCCAAAAGTTCACACACCTGAAAAAATATAAAAATAATGGAATAATCAATAACAAACTTTGAAGAAAATAATTCATTTTATACTAATTCTCTATCTTGGAGCATAAATTTCAATTAAGTTTGACAATTTAAAAAAAAAAGGAATGAAGTACTTTTCTTAACAATAAACAAAGAAAAGAAAAAATGGAAACTAGATTCAATGCATTCACTTTTAACTTTTTAAATAAATAAGTCATCTCTGCAAACGAACCTGCTCTGGTGATTCCAATGGCTTGATTTCATGGAGGACAGCAAGAGCTTCGCCTGCAGCAACTCGGACATCCAAGTGTCCGGAGCCTAGCATGTCGGCAAGATGGTCCTGTCCAACCATTTCCAGTCCTTGGCAACCGTCAACTGTGGCCAGCAGGGTCCAGCCGGAAAGGGCGGCAGCATGAAGAGCGGCCACCTCCGGAGCTATGTTGGGCGTGTGGCCGTCGCCCTTGAGGTACGAGCCACTGAATATGTCGATCAGAAGGCGCTCACTGGCATATGCTGCTGCTGGCTCCATTTCCGTCAAAAACGACAACACCGCAAGCGCCCAACAGCACTGGAAATACAAAAGAATGAAAAATGGAAAAAAGTTTATATTCATAATTAATTAAATATATAATAATTTTATTTAAACCGTTGGTTAAAAAAAAGATATTTTAGAATCGAGCCTAACCTTTGCTCTGGCTTGAGGGCTAGCAGAGTTGTCGCCGGCCACTTGGTGAAGAACGGTGGAAAGGGTTGCGGCCACTTCTTCTGACTGCTCACAAGGTCCAAGGCTGACACACAAAAGAGGGGCCAGCAGCGCTGCGGCCGCCTGTTCCGGCCCACGGCCTCTCCTTAGACTGGACCGTATTGCTTCAATTAATGTAACATATCTGCAAATAATATTTTGATTAAATGACAAGTGAAAAAAGAAAATATAAAAATCGAGCAGAAAAAGACGGTGATCTGACCTGTCAAAAATGAAATCGGGGAGGTACTTCTTGGAGAGAGCGGCGGCCATGGCCTGCAGGGCCTGTGTGCGCACCTGCGCTGACTTTTCGCTCAACCTTTCCACACACTCCAGAAGCTTTTCCTCAAACACTTCTTCCTGAGACTGCTCGTCGATTTCACCTTCTACCCCTACAAAATCTAAAATTAATAAAACCGCCCTTTATCAACCAAAGAATTTCAAACCTTCATCGGGAATCGAGGACGAGGCTATGCTCACTACGCTGGCATTGTCGTTAAGCACCGACTCCTCGTCGGAATAATTTTCTACGCGACTTCTTCCTGTAATCAGAAAGTTAAACCAAAATTTAGATTTATACGATTTTCTTGATAAAACTTTTTTAAATTTTGCTTTAATATTATTATAATTATTATTGTTATTTTTTTTTATTAATATTCCGGCAATTCTCTGACGCAGGAAAATTTATAAAAACGTAAGGAAAAACGTCAGCGAGCCATTCCTGTTGGTTTTCCAGCGACCTTCGCTGCCAATTTGATGGCTCGGAGCGCGAAACACGTTTCAGTGATGACAAACAAGTTCAACGCAGGTGACTTAACTCGCTTCAGTTCCGCACTACGCCTTTCGCTGCAGAAAATAGGTCAATTTTTTAAGCCTCTCGACGAAATCAAAATCAATAAAATTAATATATTTAACTGAAGAAGAATTTATTTCTAATCTGACGATTTCCTCTCAAAATTCTCTGGGGACAAAGCAATGTTTTCTTCTCGGTTTAGTGTCCTTCGTAAAAAGCAAACCGACAGGAAATGAATGATAAACGAGTCGTCTATCTAAACAAGAGCTTCCCTGTTTCTTCTAGCCTTTGAGGTAGGTAAAAAATGTTAAAAACAACATTTTATTTTAATAAAGATGAATACTAAATTTTGATGGAATAAAAAAAAATTGGCTCCTCTTACAAAATGAATTAAAACCAATAGTTAAAATGAAATTAAAATGAATTTCAAAATTTGTATAGCAGCTATTATCCGAAAAATAATTCTAAAAAAAAAAAATAAGCATAATAATATATTTCAATTTTTGTTGCATTTCAATTTTTTTTATCTTTTTAATATTTAAAACAGAAAATGGGCTAACTTTTAGGCAGGAATAATATTGATTTATTTTATTATTATAATTACGTTACTGATATTTCCACATAAATACGCGGCAGTTCAAAATAAACAGTGATGTCACTATGGATTCATGATTCATGCTCTGGCATTAATTTATGCTTGGTTGGAAAATAAATTAAAAATAATTTCTACTATTTCAGATTATTTGGAATAAATTATGAAACTGTTCACGCTTGCCTAAAATTACTAAAATAATAATAAATAAGCGTGAAATGGCCCCTCCCATGAGACAATTAACCATTCTCACCTGCAGGCTCCATGGGTAAAATAACTTTCCAAATATATAATTGACAGCTTGCTTTCGCGGTTTTGTGTCTGGCCGTGTCAACGCCAACTGTTCGATTGATTATGTTTCACTTTTCAACCGGAGTTATATGGAGAATTGGAACTCCCTCCCTTCTGTGTTAAAATCGTGTGCGTCAAATAATTTCCCTAAATTGTGCAAAGAGCATGTAAAACAAATTTAATTTTTTTTCCCCGTAGTTTAGGCTGCAGTGCGGCGAGTAGTCGGGTATTTATCGCCTCTTGGTAAATACTCGGCTACGAGTTTCAGTGAGTTGTTCACTAGCACTGTGTGCCTATTTTTCTCCCAACCAATTTTTCACAATTGATTGTTTGACTTGTTTGGAGAAAAATAAAATGAATTGAATTCAAGGAATATTCTCTTTTGGAAAGCACATTGAAAAAAGAACAAGAGCTGCATTGCTGGCCACTTATAATATACGAGAACTAAAACAATTATCCATTGAAACAGCACACAAGCTATTTGATCTAAAAATTTCCCCAATTGCGTCCTACGGCATTGAAGAAATATGGCCTTTCCTAACAAAGACTGATTTTGAAAATCTTGAAAAAGTCAAAACAAGATATTTAAAAAGAGTTTTAGGACTGTCCAAGTATATTAGATCTAGATTTGTGTATGAATTAGTTGACACTGATCTCTTTGTATCGGACTTACAGGTAAAATATTCTCTAACTGAAACTGAAGCATTCCAGAAATTTTGTGTGTCTAAATATTTAAACAAACTTGAGATATGTGATGAGTTCTACGAGACAGAAACTATGAAGAATAAAAATTGGCAATGTGCAATGTTCAGTGATCGCCAAGTGTTTACGAGATTTGCCTGTCACGGGTACCACTATTTATTTTGTAAGAATAAAAATTTTCATTCTCAAGCGACAATAGATTGTGAATGCAAGCACTGCGGTAAGAAATGTTCACAATATCATATTCTTGAATGTAATGAACGAAAACTAAGCCTAAGAGAGGCTGCAAAAATCAAAATTAACTAATTTTGTACTTTGTAATAATTATCGAAACAAGCTTAATTGTAAAATTAATTTTAGGAAGACAAATTAGCTTTAGACACCCGTTGTACACCTAGTTGTGTTCAATAAATACTCTATCTATAATTCAAGGAATAATCTTATCTGTTCGAAAAGGGCACCGAAGAGATGACGAGGTGCGACATTGAGCGACTTTCTGCAACTTTGCGCTCGTTGCTCAATTTTTTTTTGCGAGAGAGGCACCCACGTGACTGCCAAAAATTCTTGGCAAATCTCCCTCAAAAACCAATCATTTCAACCCCAATTTGACCTTCAAAGGAAAATTTGAAATTGGCGGGGGAGGAGATCGACGTGCTAGGGTGGTTACCTGAAGTGCGTTGGTGGCCGTTGGCCTTCTTCCGTCCGCCCTTGGGCATGGTGGTGCGACGAACGGCTGCAGCTGCTAGGGCGAGTTCGGCCAACGATCAAGACGAACACTTGGTCAGCTCGTCGCGACACGTCGAAATGTTCTTTTCCACTAGATTATTTCTCGCTGATTTCCTGTTCAAACTCGTGAAACAGCACATGTTTTGGTTCAAGTGCGGTCGGGATTTCCAGCAGGTCTGAATCTGAAGAGCAGAGGTCTGAAGAGACGTCCACGACACTTCGAGTATTTTCTTCTCACACGGCGGAGGGGGCGGCCATGTGCTGGCCATGTGTCCTTCGACAAACCAGCACGTTCGGCAGAGCCACCTGACGACCACGCCACTAGGCTTGGAACAACCGCGAAAGTTGTGGCGGGGAAATTTACGTCTGACGAGCCCGAGGCAAAAATTATAAAATTAAGCACGGATTTTTTTGCCTCTCCGTCAGGATTATCGGTCAGGGTCTTATTTGACAACTCTTTAATTTAAAAGAAATTTTATTAAACGTAATGAATTATCCATCATCCGGTCCTGGGCTTATTTGCACGGACACGGACAAAAATTCCAAAAAAATAGCAAAATAAAAAATATAATAAATAGATGGATATGCTAGTTCATAATGGTTTACTTCACACCACTTAATTTACTAAACTTAGATTTATTAATGGAAATAATAACCAAAAAAACTCAAGTAATCATAATCACATACGCAGTAATTGTAGTTTTTTTTTATTCAAAGTGTATACAAGAAAAATTTATTTAATTTCATTCTTTTGCTATTTAGAAAAACTAGGTAAACAACGGTTTTTTGTATTTTCAAAATAATTTAATTTGGTTATAATCGGATATATCTAAAATTGATATACATTAATTTGTTGTATCCAATTGTCTTTGAATAAGCCACGCAATCAGTTATCAGGAAAATGAGGAAAATAATATTTATGTCATAAAAAAAGCGATGTTTCTGAAAAAGTTGCTGTTTAAATTTTAAAACTTTTGAAATGCTACAAAGTAAAATTGTGGCCGGAGGTCAAATTTCGGTAGGAAGATGAAGTTGTTTTCTCCGCTTTGCTGGATGCTTCTCATGATTATGCATATTTTGCTTTCATTTTTTGGTTTCCTCACACAGAGTCTGTTGCTATGGTGCTAGGTTTGCGAAAAAGACTGAGCGCCGCCGCCGATCTCGAAGGTGGGGATCGAGAGAGACCTGAGAAACCTGCCCCGGAGAGAGAGAAACCTCTAGAGCAGATATATGCGACCTAAAAAACTCAGGTTGTCGGTGAGAAGACGCGCAGCGAACTCGACATGACAACAGCACTCTCTGTGGCTTTGCTCCTGCTGGCCGCCCAGCAAACCCTGGCCGCCAAGGACTTGGGTAATTTGCAATTTTTAATTACAAATTTAGAACTTTTTTTATATCTAAAGCATGCAATTTTACTACAAATTGGCACAAATATTTGAAACAGTTTTTTGTATTAATTGTGCGATGCTCTCTAATATTTTTATTCGTAATTTTTCTTGAAAAATTGAACAATTAAACCGGTCATTTACTTTGATTATATAAGAGTGATTTTCTCAATTTCAAGGTTATTTTAAGGTGAATAAAAAAAGGACCGCAAAAATCACTAAGAAGGCCTCTCTTTACTTGGCCAGGCTGGATCTATAATTGGCACGAAAAAATACCGCTATGCTTGAGTGGAGAACTCCATACTAATCGCCCAGCCTTGTTTACTTTGCACTCACTCAAGAATGAGCACATATAAGAATTTAAATCACGTGCGTAAGAAATGCTCCAAACAATGAACTAGAATAATAATATTAGAGACGTACACTGTACTTACAATAACAATGCGTCTCAAAGAAAAAGTAGCAAAAATACCAATAATCATAAATGGAGAAAGCGTGAAATTTGCGAATAGAATAGAATAGAGTATTTATTGAACACAACTAGGTGTACAACGGGTGTCTAAAGCTAATTTGTCTTCCTAAAATTAATTTTACAATTAAGCTTGTTTCGATAATTATTACAAAGTACAAAATTAGTTAATTTTGATTTTTGCAGCCTCTCTTAGGCTTAGTTTTCGTTCATTACATTCAAGAATATGATATTGTGAACATTTCTTACCGCAGTGCTTGCATTCACAATCTATTGTCGCTTGAGAATGAAAATTTTTATTCTTACAAAATAAATAGTGGTACCCGTGACAGGCAAATCTCGTAAACACTTGGCGATCACTGAACATTGCACATTGCCAATTTTTATTCTTCATCGTTTCTGTCTCGTAGAACTCAACACATATCTCAAGTTTGTTTAAATATTTAGACACACAAAATTTCTGGAATGCTTCAGTTTCAGTTAGAGAATATTTTACCTGTAAGTCCGATACAAAGAGATCAGTGTCAACTAATTCATACACAAATCTAGATCTAATATACTTGGACAGTCCTAAAACTCTTTTTAAATATCTTGTTTTGACTTTTTCAAGATTTTCAAAATCAGTCTTTGTTAGGAAAGGCCATATTTCTTCAATGCCGTAGGACGCAATTGGGGAAATTTTTAGATCAAATAGCTTGTGTGCTGTTTCAATGGATAATTGTTTTAGTTCTCGTATATTATAAGTGGCCAGCAATGCAGCTCTTGTTCTTTTTTCAATGTGCTTTCCAAAAGAGATTCCTGATGGTTGAAAAGTAACTCCTAAATATGTAAACTCAGCAACTCTCTCTATTTCAATTCCACCTAAATCTAGGCGGTCACTTAATGCATATTTTCCTAGACCCTTATTTCTAAATTTCATGAATTTGCACTTTTCCAAGTTAAGTTTCAAACTGCGTTTTAACAAAAATTCTTTCATTCTGGCTAAAGCAATTTTCAAGTCACTTAATTTTACTGAGGTTAAAACAATATCATCTGCATAATAAATGGCTTTCACGTTTGGCAAATCTCGTAGAATATTATTTATATCAGCTAAAGAGTAATTGAACAGAAATGGGGACGTGCATCCCCCCTGTCTTACCCCATTTGATTGTGTAATAAGTTTTGATACTGTTACTCCATCTACTATTCTCAAGAAATTTAAGTCTAAGTTGTGAGCTAAATAATTTAACTCCGTGAACGTTAGCTTCTTGCTTTCTATTAACTTCTTAAAAATAAACGCCCTATCTATTGAGTCAAAAGCTTTACTTACATCCAAAAATAAGGCATATAAGGGTGATTTCTTCTTATAAACTGTCTCTTGAATGTTATTAACTAAGGACTTAATTGCCTGTAAAGTAGATTTTCCTTTCACAAAACCATATTGATTGCCTGGAATCTCGTGAATCAAAGATGAGTAGATACGTGCATGCAGTACACGATCTAACAGATTGTAAAAAGCCGAACTAATACATATTCCTCTATATGAATTTGTATTTTCCGCGTCCCCTTTTCCCTTATACAAGAGTTTTAGATTTGACTGCCTCCATTCCTCTGGACATGTTCCTAGCTCCAAGCATTTGGTGAAAAATTGCGTTATTTCGGGGAGAAAGGATTCAACAAGTAGTTTAATATTTTCATTCTTCACTTTGTCAGGTCCAGGGGATTTCCCGTTTTTCATTTTCTTTAATGCTAACAAAACTTCTTCTTCCATAATAGGTGAAAAATTTATATCATTTCTGTAATCTACTATCATCTCTTTCAGATTTAACGATTCATTTTCACTCAATTTTTTCTCGTTGAAAATTTTTTCAAAATTGCACTCCCATTCATCCATCATTATATTGTTTGTATTGTAAAAACTTTTGCTCAACTTGAGAATTTTATAGCACTTGTTCTGCTCCGCCTCTTTTAAAATGTCCAACTCCTTCATTTGCACAAAAGCGTTCTTCTTCATTTCACACATATTTTTGTAATTTCTTTTTATTGCGGTATAGTGCGGTAATAGAATCTTGATTATACTAGTTACATTTAAACTTTCAGCCACTTCCAAGCACTCTCTCCATTCGTTCAATTTCTGTTTTAATTCGTAGCATTCAGAATCAAACCACGGTTGACTAATCCGTTCAGTTTGCCTACGAGGAATGTCGGCCTCTTTCATAATATTTATTTAGAATTATGAAGTTTTCCAAATATTTCACATTTAGTAAATTTCCTAACCTAGAATTAAAATACACGGAAATTCCCCTCATCGGTCGCCCTGCCTCCTTTTGTGAAGCTAAAACTTGCCTTGAATAAAAACCAGGAATGTGAAGTGGTTTCTTTAAAAATGTTTCCGTGAAAAGAAGAATATCATAATTTTGCAGTTCTGTTGCAATCGGAGATTCATATGCTTTCGTAAGCCCTTCACAATTCCAAAGCCCTAATTTTAAGTTACTCACGTCGCTGTTTCGACAAGGGAAATCTATAAAGAAAGTTTCTCACGAGCACCACAGTTGCGCTTGCTTCTCTCCCTGGGTGCAACAGTCTGCGAATTAGGGGCATCATTTAGCTGCTCTTCGTCATCCGGCTTCCCTCCAGTCTCTTCTTCTTCCTCCCCGGCCTCCTTTGGGTTGAACAAATTCCCACAGTTTCCCCAGCGTTTGGAGATATACTTGTTGTACAGATGAACAGTGACTGGGACATCTCGAAGTTCTTCGTACAGAGTGTCCAAGACCCAGAGGCGATGCAGCCTGTCCATGCCACTGCACATGTAGGTCATTGCAATCTCATCAATCTCTTCCTCTCGAATGACTTGGGCCAGCTTAGCAAATGCAGTCTTCACTCCCTTTAGGAAAGGCTCAGGTGCTTTGTGCAACTTGTGGGGGGACCTCATTTTAGTTACCACGTGAAACACAGTACCGTACTTTTCAGTCTTCTCTCTGATGATTCCGCCTATTTCAGTCTTTCCCGGCTCAGCTTTCGGTTTGCCCACCGCCGCCGTAACCTCTTGTGCAGCCCCCATGCTGGTCCAGAGATCAGAGGCTATGGCGTGTGCCTTTATCTCTTGCTTGGCATCCAGTAGACTGACCCCTTGATGTTCAACAAACTTGACCTTGGCTCCCTCCACTGCGAGCGACTCATCATTCTTCAGGGCCTCATCGAGTTGGGCAGAGCGATCGATGTATTGGTTCACGCAGGGTGTGTCATCAGCCTTTGTCAGAGGAGCAATTGGTGGATAATAACCTCTCTGATACCTGCCGTGAAATTGCCTCCGTCTGTTATCTGTACCGCTCGACTCATTTTCTGCATTCTTCTCGTAGAAAAGGACCTTCCGCTCAAGCTCCCTCAGCTTAGCCTCGTGCTTCTCATCTCTCTCCTTCCAGGACAAACGTTCCTTTTCGAATTCCTCCTGCATCAAAGATACTGTTTTACTGAACATTTCGCCAAGTTGGTCATTCTGAATTTTGAGCTGATTTGAGAATTGCAGCGTGACATGCTGGAAAACACGCTGAATGATTTCCTCCAACGTTACTACAGCTCCCGGAGGAGCCGGACCTCCTGCGTAAGTCTGTCCAAAACCTCCTGAGTTGAGAACTGGTCCATTGCTTCCATTTTGCAGAGGGTTTGGCGCCATCTCCTGTCCGGGGGTGGGTGGAGTTCCTTCGGGCCATGCTGGATGATGGAATTTTGCTCTATTTTCTGTATGTCCGTAAGAAGGGCCACAATTTATGGGTGGCTGGGCAGCGTACCCTTGTGGTGACCTCCACGGCACATGTGCAGATGCCATGGCCTTCAACTCAGGGAAAAAAGGCGAAATTAGACACACGACCCTCCTAAACCAGTGTTTTCCTTACCGAAGCAGTGCTGCCAAATTTGCGAAACGTGTTGTTTAAAATTTCAGTTAATTTTGTCACAATTGAAATTAATTTAATGAAATACATTGCGCTCCAATTAAGGAGCCGAGCCGAATCTAGTTTTGTGTAATTATTGAAATTCTGCTGGCAGGTTCCCTACTTCACAGTCAATGCCCTGAATGGGGCCAAATCTCTGCCGAGTGCTACAAAAACCAGCTGAATGACATCATCGGAGGAGTCGCTCAAGGTAAATTAGCTCGATTCCCACCAGCTTTCATTTTTCCACTCCATAAAATAATAATGCTTAGAAAAATCTCGGCGGTCAAAACCAAAATGCTCATTTCTTAATCCCGTTAGCAATTTTCGTTAATTATTTTATTGCATAACACTTTTTTTGGTTCTCGCTGAGGAAGGTAATTGAATATTAATGTTATGTTGGTGACTACTGTATATATTGTACCGTTGGTAACACTGTAATAAAGGTTAGAATTATCTTGGAACCCGAACCGACCGGACGTGTTATTCCGTTCTCCGCACTCTACAAGCGGCCAGAGGCCGCCAGGGCCGGCAAGTGGCCGCCCTTGTAACACCTCAAAAACAGGCCACCTCCAGACGTAACAAATGGCGACGAGGAAAAACTAACTTCGGTGAAGGAGGAAGAGGTGAGTGGAGCGAGAAAAGTGCGAGAACGGCGACCACGTGCAGCGTGTGGTGATTCCCCAAAATTGGCTTGGGTTGGTGTCCGGAGGCGGACCTGTCCGGCACCAAAAGAGACCTCGAAGGAGCCAACGAAGAGTTTCCGGCGGGAGGAAAGTCGGGCAAGAAGAAATTCTCCGCGTGAGGCTGCGAAAAGCCGGGCGTTACATCAGCCAAAAACGAGGTGAGAGTCAGCAGACATTTTCAAGTCGAGGCGGCCAGCCGGCCAAGTGTGAAAGTCGGTTTGGCCAGAGATCAAGAGACCCGCGGCCCAGAGTGTTTTTGCGAGCAAAGTCGCAGCGGCAAGAGAAGGGTGAGCAGAGTCACCTGCCGCAAAGTACGAAGCGTGACAGCCGTTCCTCGGACAAGGGAAGAGGACGGTGTGTGTCGGGGCGTCAGAGAAGGGCGTCGCCGAAAAGGGTCAGAGTGCGACCCAGTGAAGAGCTCTCCCAGGGTGGGAAGCTCACCGTGTTCGTCACCTTCAAGAAAAGGGGCCAGAAGGGAAAGGAGGAAGGAGGAGGACTTGGGCTCGTCATCGTGAGTTCGAGTGGAGAGAGACCACGAGCCAAGTCTTGTCTTCAAGTGCAGAGTCTGCTGAGCGCAAAGAAAGCAAGAAAGAGGAAAGAGAAGGGCGAGATTGAGTCCAGGGAAAACCAGCGGCCACCAGACAGAGGACGTGTGGCGCTGTCGTTCGTACGAGAGAGACGCCAGGAGGAGGCAGCCGCCTTCTCTGGCCAACGTGTGAGTGACTCTGAGGGTGCAACCGTATCCTCGAGCCTTCGACCTGAGTTGAGGGGATCTCCTCAGGGGTCGTTTGAGAAGTGCCAGGCGAACAAGAGCCTGAGGTGAAAATTCCTGAGACGAGGAGGAGAGAAAAGAAGAAAATCAGCAACTGGAATTTCAGGCCGTATCCAGATTGCGTGAACATTTTTCGGTGAAATTAAGTTCAGTGAATATTTGAGATTGAGAAGGATTTTAAGAGTTCAGAGTTGAGAAAGTTTAGAGCAAATTTGAAAATTCAAAAGTTGAAAGTAAATTCAAAATTTCAAGTATATTTCAAAAGTGTAAAATTTGTAGTTCCAATTCAAGAGTGAATTTAAAGTGGTTCACAATTTGCATTTTTGAAACCAAAATCTTGTGCATTAATTTTCACAAAATTGAATTATTGATTGATTGATTGATAGCATGGCATCTTCTTAATTGTCTTAAAATAAAATAATTGAGTTTTTATCTTAGGCGGGAGATGTTATGTTGGCGACTACTGTATAGATTGTACCGTTGGTAACACTGTAATAAAGGTTAGAATTATCTTGGAACCCGAACCGACCGGACGTGTTATTCCGTTCTCCGCACTCTACGAGCGGCCAGAGGCCGCCAGGGCCGGCAAGTGGCCGCCCTTGTAACACCTCAAAAACAGGCCACCTCCAGACGTAACAAATGGCGACGAGGAAAAACTAATTTCGGTGAAGGAGGAAGAGGTGAGCGGAGCGAGAAAAGTGCGAGAACGGCGACCACGTGCAGCGTGTGGTGATTCCCCAAAATTTGGCTTGGGTTGGTGTCCGGAGGCGGACCTGTCCGGCACCAAAAGAGACCTCGAAGGAGCCAACGAAGAGTTTCCGGCGGGAGGAAAGTCGGGCAAGAAGAAATTCTCCGCGTGAGGCTGCGAAAAGCCGGGCGTTACATCAGCCAAAAACGAGGTGAGCGTCAGCAGACATTTTCAAGTCGAGGCGGCCAGCCGGCCAAGTGTGAAAGTCGGTTTGGCCAGAGATCAAGAGACCCGCGGCCCAGAGTGTTTTTGCGAGCAAAGTCGCAGCGGCAAGAGAAGGGTGAGCAGAGTCACCTGCCGCAGAGTACGAAGCGTGACAGCCGTTCCTCGGACAAGGGAAGAGGACGGTGTGTGTCGGGGCGTCAGGGAAGGGCGTCGCCGAAAAGGGTCGGAGTGCGACCCAGTGAAGAGCTCTCCCAGGGTGGGAAGCTCACCGTGTTCGTCACCTTCAAGAAAAAGGGCCAGAAGGGAAAAGAGGAAGGAGGAGGACTTGGGCTCGTCATCGTGAGTTCGAGTGGAGAGAGACCACGAGCCAAGTCTTGTCTTCAAGTGCAGAGTCTGCTGAGCGCAAAGAAAGCAAGAAAGAGGAAAGAGAAGGGCGAGATTGAGTCCAGGGAAAACCAGCGGCCACCAGACAGAGGACGTGTGGCGCTGTTGTTCGTACGAGAGACGCCAGGAGGAGGCAGCCGCCTTCTCTGGCCAACGTGTGAGTGACTCGGAGGGTGCAACCGCATCCTCGAGCCTTCGACCTGAGTTGAGGGGATCTCCTCAGGGGTCGTTTAAGAAGTGCCAGGCGAACAAGAGCCTGAGGTGAAAATTCCTGAGACGAGGAGGAGAGAAAAAGAAGAAAAGCAGCAACTGGAATTTCAGGCCGTATCCAGATTGCGTGAACATTTTTCGGTGAAATTAAGTTCAGTGAATATTTGAGATTGAGAAGGATTTTAAGAGTTCAGAGTTGAGAAAGTTTAGAGCAAATTTGAAAATTCAAAAGTTGAAAGTAAATTCAAAATTTCAAGTAAATTTCAAAAGTGTAAAATTTGTAGTTCCAATTCAAGAGTGAATTTAAAGTGGTTCACAATTTGCATTTTTGAAACCAAAATCTTGTGCATTAATTTTCACAAAATTGAATTATTGATTGATTGATTGATGGCATGACATCTTCTTAATTGTCTTAAAATAAAATAATTGAGTTTTTATCTTAGGCGGGAGATGTTATGTTGGTGACTACTGTATATATTGTACCGTTGGTAACACTGTAATAAAGGTTAGAATTATCTTGGAACCCGAACCGACCGGACGTGTTATTCCGTTCTCCGCACTCTACAAGCGGCCAGAGGCCGCCAGGGCCGGCAAGTGGCCGCCCTTGTAACACCTCAAAAACAGGCCACCTCCAGACGTAACAATTAATGACTTGAAAAAAAATGTTATCTTTTGCTGCTCTTTCAGGTGTTCCCGCTTTGGGCATTCCTCGATTGGAGCCTTTTGTCGCCGGCCCTTTGAACGTCACCGTCAAGGTCACCGATGACCAAAGCTTCACCATGAGTCTGCACAGAATGACCTTCACCGGCCTCAGCAACAGCAAAGTTTCCTCGCTCAAGTGCGCAGTTGGAAAAAAATTTAAATGGAATAAAAATATCTTTTATAAAATTTCAGGATTGGAAAGTACGACGACGAGCGCCCCGACGAATTCAGTCCTCTCGAACTGACCCTTGGTTTGTCCAAGCTGAGAATCAAGACTCCCTATTCCAATGAGGGCCGCTTCATCCTCTACAGGGCCACTGGACAAGGTCACCTGACCTTCACCTTCAGTAAATTTAAATAATTTGTAAAATAAAAAATAATCAAATTTTTTTTCAGCCGACGTGTTGATGAAAATTCGCGTCAAGTACGGCGTGATTGAAAGGGACGGTGAGCGCTTTGCTCAGGTGCACTCGTCACGCGTCCAGGTTGGCGCCGGCAAGTCAAACATCAACGTCGACAGCCTCGGCAATGACAACGAAGTCGCCAAAGGTAAAATTTTGCAACATTTTTAATTGAGTATTTATTTTTTTTTTTTTAATTTGCTAGAAATGTTCAACGCCATTCTGTCGGCAAGCAGCGACCAGATTTTCCAGTTGATCTTCGCATTCTTGAACCAAGAGTTCTCCAAGCTCTTCTTGGACGTCGCCCAACAGTCCACTGCCAACCTGCCCTTGTCCAAGGTCTTCAAGCCCTGGCAGGAGCCCCCCTCTAGCAACTAAACCCAGTTTTTGTTTATTTTAAGATTTTTTTTTTCAAGAAATATATTTTAATTTCCTGTATCTAAAATGCGTTTTATTTAACTCGAGAGTACATAAAGTGTTAACACTTCTTGGTTTTTGGTGGAAAAATATTTCGTCATTTTCGACCACATTGCCCAAAAGTTCATGCTGTGGAGCGTACAAATTTCATCTGCTATGTTGCGGAGTCTTGTTACTGAATTAACCTAGGTTTACAAGGTTATTGTAGCAAAAAATTGCATTCACAATAGTCCAATTATTGCTAGCTCTGCAGATTTGACAACAATAAAGGCACATACATGGTGAACACTTTTCCTTATCCCACATCCAACTGAAAATGCTATAGTCGTATTTTGCCATTTGCAACTTAAAATTATCCAACGTGCTTCGATTAATTCAGATTCATCCAAATTTAAAATTAAACAAGGAGAAAATAGAGATGGGGCACCAGTATGGTTGTCCCAGGTTAAATCAACGACTAAAATTATAACCACCCCTTTTGCTGGGATTTCCATTAGTCTGAAAGTACCCCTGTCGTGAAATCAAAATTGAGCCGCTGGCTCGTTTTGGGGGAATTTCATTTCTTGGCGCTGTTTGCTTTCAAACTATCAAAGTCTTCAAAAAGAGGTAAATCATTTTCCTTGCTATTAAACAGCGCTTGATATAACATTTATTGCTGACCATTGGTGCTGTTATTGACATGATTAAAATAAAAATGATAAAATACCGATTCCCAGCATTCCACAATTTTTCATAAATTTCTCATGATTCGAGAGACAGAATCTTTTTCTGTCACATTTTATAAAACTGATTTGTCTGCTATCGAACTTAAACCTACTGATGCTTTTGCTTCATTTGCAAACAAAAAATGTACTTAGCCCTTGGCCAGACGCAGGACGTGCAGGATGACCTCATCGACCGTCTGGTTGTTCAGCAGCGTCTTGACTGCCGAGTCGTCTATGACCACCGTGAAGAGCAGTTTTGCATTTTCACGGAGTCTGTCAATCGGAGAGTAGTCCTCGGCAAGGGCTGGAGCGTGGCCGCACCGCCGGATCACCGCCTCCAGCAGTTTGTCCACAGTTTCGTCAGGCCATCCAAAAGCAGCCAGAGTGGCTTCATCCACCTATTGAAATTATTCAAATTTAATCACAGAAATGGGTTTTGAATTATAGATTGTTTACCAGAAGAGAGAGGAGTTCTCGAATAGAGTCCGAGAGAGCTTTTTCGGACATCGATCCACCTGACTGTGGGGCGCCCATGAGACCTGCCAGCTGAGTTGTGGTGGCCAGGGCGGCACCCATTGAGAGACCGGTGGAAGCGGCCGCTTGGGCTGCCTGGGTGGCCAGCAACTGTTGCTGCAGTTTCTTCTTCTCAGCCTCAGCCAGAATTTCCTCAAGCATGTCCCTATGCTTGGATCTCATGTGTCTGAAATACAATTTTAAGAATTAAATTGCATTAAATAATAATAAACAAAACTTATCCTACCTAAGCAGACAGTCCTGTCGGATGAAAGCTCTTCCGCATTCGTCGCAGGACCTCGGTGGCTCCTTGGTGTGTGTGAGCAAGTGGATTTTCAAGGAAGACTTCATAGCAAACTGCTTCTCGCAGATTGGGCACTTGTGAGCTAAAAATATTCAAAATTTAGTCATAGTTGAGGTTGTTTTAAATGTCTTACATTTGACGCCAGAGTGGAGGATGGTGTGCCTGGCGAGGTCCTCCTTGCGGACAAAGGTCTTGGTGCACTGGTCACACTCGTAAGGCTTGGCGCCTTCGTGCACATACTTTATGTGCATGGAGAGGCGGACGCGGCGGTTGAACGATTTGTTGCAAATGTCGCATGTGAATCCATATTCGCCTGTGTGGTGGAAGATGTGGCTTCGCAGCTGGCTAGCCTGGATGAAGCTCTTTCCGCAGTAGCCACAAGTGTGAGGCTTGACCCCCGTGTGCGTCTTCACGTGCCGGTTCAGTGTCTCTTTGGCAGCGAATTTGGCAAAGCACTGGAATCAAATTTATCAATTAATAAACAAATTTCTAACAAATAATTTTTGTTTTATTTAAAAAATTGCACTTACCTCTTTGCACTCGTAAGGCCTTTCACCAGTGTGCATACGGCGATGTTTTTTCATGGCGCCGCTCGACGGGAATGTCTTCTCGCAGAAATCGCAAGGGTAGGGCCGCTCGCCAGTGTGGATGCGGGTGTGTATCTGCAGCAGACTGGTGCCGTGGAACTCCTTGTTGCAGAATTCACAGTTGTACTTCTTCTTGCGCTTCACCTGACCGGCATGGGCCCGAAGGTGCTCACGCAAGTTGTCCTTTCGGCTGAACATCCGACCACACACCTGATATATTAAGGGAAAAAATCACATTCGTTCCAATTATTGATAGATTTTTTCCAGAAAATGTTTAATAATATTATTTATATGAAAAAAAAATACCTGACAAGGGTGGGAGGGTTTTGGTTTTCCATCGCACCCTGTCTGGATGACATGCCGCTCCAAGTGGTACTTTCTGCTGAACATCTTGTCGCAGCGGTTGCATGTGTAGGGCTTGAGGCCCGTGTGAGTGTACATGTGGCGCGCCAGAGTGCCCTTGTCTGGACACCGAGCATCGCACTCGGGACAACTGTAGGTCTCGCCCTCAAAGTGGATGACCCGCCTGTGTCTCTCCAGACTCGACTTGAGCTTGAACTTTTTCTGGCAGTCGACACACTCGTAGTCCCCTCCTGAGTGGGCGGTCTCGAGGTCTTCGAAGCAGCAGTGGCACTTGCCAAGTGCGGCCGGAGCGGCCGTTTCGTCAATCAGGTTGTTGACCTTGGCCAACATGACACCCTTCATCTGCTCGCTCAGGGTGATTTCGCCGTCCTCCAGCTCGACGAAGTTGTTCCGAGCGCGCTGGTTGATTTTCTTTTTGGTTTTCTTCGAGGGTGGCTCCTCTCCTGGGAGCTGGTTGAACTCGTAAACATCCACAGGTGAGTGATTCTGCTCAGTCGAGGATCCCGGCTGAGGCTCATTATCCATCAGCTCTTTGAGCTTCTTTCCAAAAGCTGGAATAAAATGCAAATTAATTTAAAACGCTTACCACAGTTAGAATGAAATGCTTACTTGAAAGGCCTGGAGTCTTCGGGGACTTGTTCTGGCCTCCGGTCTTCTCACTTGCATTTTCATTGTTGACTTCTTTTCCTTTCTTTTTCTGTGAATTTGTTGGAGAAAGATATTTCCACATAAGATTTTGTTTGGTCTTGTCTACTTTTACCGGTGACTTGGGTTGTTTCGCAGCCTTTGTCTCTTTTTTAGCTGCATTCTTTTTGCCTTTCTTGGCAGCGGGCGCCTCTGGACTGCCTGCAACTCCATTGGTCAGTTCCTCTTTATTGCGGGTCGAACGCCTTGTTTGCCGAGGGGCAACTGCAGTGTCTGCAATTTGAAGAAAACTTCAGATGCTGCTGAGGAAAATTTTACATTATCAATTGTACCTGCCATATCGCACCTTGTAATTCAGAACTAATAAAAAACTGAAACAACGAAAATTAAAATTAAAACAAAGAAATAAAAATCAGGCACTAGCAATAATTTTCAAAATTGAATATAATAAAATTTTAAATATATTTTAATTAGAAACCATTTCTAATAAATAATGAAGAAAAAATATTTCAACTGTACAATTTGTAGGAAGGGGTCATCCAATCCATGCCAAGAGTTTTCAAACATATAATTTTACCAAAATTTCTCAAAATTCACAAGTTTTACAGGACATGCGACACAAGGTTTTGGAAAATTTCAAAAGACTCCATCTTGGCTTTCCATCTCATTGAAGAACAGAAAACCTGGGGAGCCGAAATTTAATTTGTCCTTTTAAGTTTTCATATAAAAAGCAAAGTAATAAAAAATAAAAAAAATTAATGCCAAAGGAAGTGTCAAATGGACAAGATTTTACATAATAGTAGATAATAGGATTTTGCTTCCGTGGGGTACGGTTCTATTCTACATGAACGCCTCCTCAACGGTGCCCATCAACCCCCTCTGATCATGATTGCCAGCATTGTGTGCTTGGGCCTGCTGGGGAAATATTACAATGGTGAAAGCATGAGCTTGGTAAGGAATTTTCTTTCTTGACTTGAACAGTCGAGGCAATTTGAAACTTAATTGAAACTACTTTTTCAGTCCGTTTTTTTTTTAAACAAAACATGATTCACTTGTCTGGGCTTTTGGTGATCCTGGCCAATTCTATCACCTGGATAAGTAAGTTTTCTCTAATGTATAATTTAATTTTGAAAGCAAATAATAATTTCTTCCAAATTTCCAAAAGCTATAAGGAGCAGCATCAGCCTCTTCTCCCCCACAAGCGCCGCTATATCCAAGCTACCCAATTCTTCAACACATTTACAGCTTTCGTCATTTTTCGAGACTAAAATTTTCAGCTATGTTTGTTTTGAATTAAAGTTGTAATAAATAAGAATTTGTTAACTATGAGCAAAGTTAATATCATTGATCTTTTAAATATTATGAAATTTTGGCCAAGCTTAGAATGTTTTTTATATTTTTCATATTTTTTCTGATACAACAAAGAAATCAACGCGTGAGGACATACACTATTCGAATCAGGTATATTGGAGGGGCTATAAAGATAATTCTGAACAAATGATGTGTGCAGATGATACAAATTTAAAATTTTCACAATCATCAATCATTTCTTAGGAAATTTTTACAAAGAAGCCCATTAATTGCACATTTAGTTTAGGGATAAAATGAAGTACTCATTTTTTTTTGGAGAAAAGTGCCACTTGTCTCATTGAACCGCCAAATTTATGGGGCCAAAATTGATAAGCTAGAGGACAACAATTAAAAATATGACGTCTAATTTTGTAAATTAGTCAAATATAGAATTTAACAATTTAAATTTAAAAAACAAAAACAATAATATTTTTAATTAGTACTGCGACTAATCGCCTTGACGTGGAATTACGTTCTGAGACCCGTTTTGAGTGGTTTCTTTGGGTTTTAAATTCTCAAAAAATTATATTTTTAATTGAAGAAATTTTTTATTACAGTAGAGCCCAACAAATTTTAATTTAATAGCGGATTTATGGAGGGCAACGAGACAAATTCAGTCGTAACCAATTTTTTTATTCTCTATCACGGAAAGCCAGTTTTGAATGTGCTGATAAAAATCCATAATTTTTTTTATGTGGGGGTAAAACTAAATATTTTTAAAAATCAAGTTTGAGATGATGTGGTTAAAATCGGAGATGAACCCTGAAATATTTTCCATATATTTCCGTCAAAATGAGGATCAAAAAGAATTTGAATTCAATTTTGTTTTTTATAGTCGCATCGAAAATAAATCGCGAGTGGATTAGATCGAGCGACGCCTAGACGCTATGCAGCCCGTTACGATGTAGCCAACACATCCTGTAAGTTAGAGGGCCGTGCGTGACCTGTTGCTCGGCCGCTGGCCTACTTTACACTTTGCATATTTAAGATTCGCCGGGTGCCAAAAATGGTGCTCATTCGCGAATTCCCGCCAAAACCTGACCAGCGAACGTTTTTTTGAAAGCCCCCGTCCGGAGCCCGAGTCCCCGCGACGGGATCGTACAAAGTCTGGCCCGGAAGTGCCAGCGTATGCATATGCAACCACCATTACGAAGAAATGTAGGCCCCACGCAACACACGCCAACCTTTTGCGGCGTCTAGCGCTCGAACGGGACCACATTCGGCCGCCAGACGTTTGGGTCGGCCAACGCAGTCTCTTACCTACAATTAGGGCCCAGTGGGCCGCGGCGGCACGCCGAATTCGCCGAAATTCGTCCTGCAGAAGCGAAAAGCGACGCCCCTGGAAGTCGGCTTCGTGCAGCGTCCCAACCATGGAAGGCGACGCCCACTGCGCATGCGTCACAACTACGGTCCTGCCTTCTCATTGGTTTAGAACTGGAGACTCAGCTTGTGGCGCTGAAATGCGAATCTGGTTCTCCGTGAAGCGCAGAATATTAGCGCGAATTAAAGTGAAGGTAAAATAATACTTTTTATGCAATCGTACTTCTATTTTTTCTGCTTCAGCAGGTGCTATATTTTACTCATTTTATTGTTCTTCTAAATTATCAAGTAGTAAATTGATTACGTTTTAAATTTTAAAATAGTTTAAACTGAAATAAAACAGCACACTTCTTTCCATAAAATTGTTGTTTAATTTAGTTCTTTGAAGCAATCAAGTATAATAAAACAAAAATATTTCCAACAGAACATTTGATGCTTTTTTGTATCAATTTGAAAACATTGAACCACATGTCTGCTGTGCTTGTACTCAATTGCTTGTTTTCGGCAGTAAAGGGAGTAATAATTAATGAATGCATAAGAAACCTTATCATAAGAAACTGCTACAGAATAAACTTAGTAACTGAGACGATGAAGTTAAAATTTGATGACAAAAATTTTTAAACTGAGCGCGACACTTAAAAAAATCATTTCAAAGCATGGTCTTAAAAAGAGATTGGAGACGACGGAATTGTCCAATGAGTTCTTCGACACACGTTTTGGTGTACAGTTGGTTCAGACATGAGGTGGCCATGTCCAGCGCCAGAACAACCACGTCATTCCGTCTCTGCGCAGCCTGCACCTCGGCCAGCTGACCCAAGAGGAAGGCAGCTGACTTCATCAAGTAGTGCTCATCTCCGGCAGCCCCCCACGACCAGTCCGGTTGCCGCAGGAGCTTTTCATAAGCAGCCATCACACTTTCTAGTCCTGAAACCTTCACCAAAGACAGGGCAACAGTGCCAGGGGCAGTACCGTCCCGGCAAGCGACAGCTTCAATTTCCTTGGCCAGAACTTCAATGGGGAACAAGTGGCTCTGCAGATGTTTGCCGACTGCCTCAACTCTGGAGAGCAAAGAGTTCAAAGGGCGCGTTGAAGCAATCTGGAAAAGAATATTTAGAAAAAAATGAGCAAGGTAATACAATTAATGTACCATTTGATGCCAAATATCATTAACTAAATTGGGGTCCTCATGGTTGGAACACTGCAATATGGCTAGTTGGCATTCCCAGAGCTGGAGAGGAACTGCATAGTGCTGGAATAAGTCTGTTATCGTCAATAAAGTTTGTTCCAGTCTCTCAAGCTGGGCAGGGCTGAGGTCGTGGTCCAGCTTCTGCACTTCTTCCAAAACCTTTTATTAAAATTGGATCAGTTTAAAATTCCTTCTATTTCTGCAAAATCTCACTTTGATTTGAAGCTTAGCAACGTCAAGCTGGTCTTCGAGTTCTTTGCTGAAGAGGCCAGTTGATTGACTGTAGCCAGCGCTTGACGATCGAAGGCAAAGGAGAGCCCTCGACAGGCAGTAGATGCGCTCCTGAAGTTGCATGTGTGGCTCTGGTGCGGTAGCAGCTTTGTGAAGCACACTGGCTGCCATAGCATGCCGGCCAGTTTTTTCATACAATGTCCAAAGAAGCTCCGAGACATTTCGATCATCCCGACCATCAGCTATTGAATGAACGTAAAATAAGAAGTGGTTAGATAACATAACATTTATTCTTTTAAAGATAAGAAAATTAATTGAAAAATTCGTTGGAAAATTTTGTTTTTTGTTTTTGGAAAAGGATAAAATGTCTTACTTCTGGATTTCAATTGAAGTCGCTGCAGGAAGGCCTCAAGTCCTTCCGGCGTGGGTTCTGCTCTCTGCAACAGTTCCGACTGCATCAGTCCTTTCCGCAGCAGCCACTCAAACACAGATTCTCTCAACAAAGCGTCGGACTGCTTCAAACAACTTTGCAAAAGCATTCGTCCTCCCAAGTGGCCTTCAGGTTGGTTGTACAGTTTGTCTAGGCTGTTCACTGCCTCTTTATAAGTGTCCATTCTTCTTCTGAGACAATCTGCTCCAACCGTCTCCTCAGCTGGCAGCTCATTCTGTATTTAAAAAAAAAATGAATTTAGTTTTCCAGGCAGAAAGTTTTGATTGAAATTTGTACCAAGTAGTGCTTCAGGCCCATGTCATAAGGGTCTTCTGCTTTGGCACAGGCGGTGCAAACTCGCACAATGCCGTCATAGCACTGGAGGTTCAAAAGCTGCTGGCAGACCGAGGGTAGGTCAACATGCGGAGCAGCTTCTTGCAGCAACTTAAGGGCGTTGGTCAGGAGCAAATTCTTCTCAGGGCTGTTGTTCTCGTGCTGGGCTTGTTGAAGCAGCTGCTTAGCCTTGGCCGAGGCAGCGTCCTCTGACCTAAACAGGGAAGGACAGGTGCTGCGCAGCTTTGCACTGATGGCATCTATGGACGCATTGTCAGAAAGGTAGAGTCCAATCAGGGCACCCAAGAGGGCGCCACATATCTCCTGGCCAGAGAGGAGCAGCTCTTTGAAAGTGGTGTTGGTTAGCGCCAGCTGGAGATCGGCGGGCAGCTGCGGAGCCAAAACATGCAGCTGGTGCTCACACACAATGTGCCACAAACCCAAAACCTAAATTTTAAAATGATATTATTTTTTTGTTGGACAAAACCATTGAAATATGACCTCAAGAGCATGGCAGACAAAGTGTTTCAAAGCCTCTAGAGACTTTTTCTCCTCGGCGTCCGTGATGGTGTCATTTTGGTTGCTACGAACCAGCAAATGCAAATTACGTTTCAGGAATGCTGAGACTGCTTCCAAATAGGTGCAGGCAGCGGCGAGAAGATCGGCATCGCAATTGCTGGTCAGCACCACTTTCTTGTTGTCCGTGGGCATCTGACGACAGGTGGTCACACTCCACAGAGGGCGGAGGATTCTTGAGACCAAAAGGTACATGCCCTCGTGTCTGCCGGAAACACCACTGACCGCATTGGAAAGTTGATTTGGCACCCTGAGTTTAGGATTTTGTTTAAATTCATCATTTTATGTTGCTTTGTGGAACTGGTTAAAAAACTTTAATTAAAATTATAAAATTAACCTGATTGGAGTTGAAACGCTGCTGGGGTTGAACATTACAGGAGTATTCTGTGCACTGGGAGCCAGTTGTCTGCGCTCAGAACCAAGCAAGAGGAAAGCTCTGGTGGCAGCGTCAACAACATTAGGACTTGATTCAAAACAGGCCAGAATCAAAGCAGTGGCGCAAGCCTGGTCTTCGCCAAGGAAAGAAAAGAGAGCTCTGGTTGCTTGGCCCTCTGGTCCACTGGCAAGAAGAGTTGCCTTCATGATATCTGATGGTCGTTGTTTAGCAAGCAGATTTACTCCATTGGAGCTCAAAACTGCGTATTTAGCCTGTAAATAAATAATGAAAATAAGGTTAAATATTTGAAACATTTTAATAAACAGGCTAGATCATGTGAAAAGTAAGCTTTAAGTGAAAATAACGCAATTTGCAACTGAAAATATAGCAACATGTTAAATTGAAGCAAATCTATTTCTCTAATTTGTTTCAATTGGTCCCTGAATTTTCCATACCTGCGTCTCCATGTGTTGAGTGACAAGCAGCGGTTCTTTAGAGTTGGAAGCAAGGTTAGGCTCTTCAGCAATTTGCATAACGCGGTCATCTAGTTGGAGTCGAGACTCGGTCTCGGCAAGGTGGGTGGCCGAGGGGAGCAAGTCTCTGCTGAGGCAAGCAATGGTCGACTGCTCACCTCTCTGCTGGACCATCAACAGAGTGCCTCTGTGGTGCAGCGCTTGGTAGACATGCTGAGGAGAGGCTTGGCTAGCTCCTGCTGTGTACCCTGGCGGCATCCGCACATGCACCAGGTGCAGACCCTGGGGTCGATTTCCACCAACCCACTGAGCATTGTTGATGACCAGTGAGGCCAGAGAGTGTGTGGTCATGTAGAGACGAGCTCCTGATGAGGTTACTGCGACCAGGTGAAGAGATGACGACTCGGATGTCTCCAAGGCCTGGATGTGCACTATCGGCTTGAAGGTGCTACCATCTAGAGTGCGAACAACGCTCACTGCCTGCTGAACAATTTGCGACTAAAAAGCAAAATTTGTTAGTAATATATAAATAATTGCAGTGTTTTTATTAAACACCTCTGATATTGATGCAAGCTGTGTTACTGTGCCCGGGTCCTGTCCAAGGAGATAGGCACTGATTGTGCCTTTAGAAGACAAAGCGTATAGGAGGCCTCTTGAGTTATCAACCACAAGTTGAACAATACTGTCTTTTTCAGAGAAGGTTAGGAATGCAGGAACCAGCAGGGACAGCATTCCCTGAGAGTGGTTTATCCTTTTGCAGCTTTTGCCGAACCAGCCATCGTTGCCTTTGTACAAAATCTCAAACAGACAACCGTCGTCACCACCCTAAAGAAACTTTCTGTTAATAAATGTAGGATTAAATTTTATGTATTGTTTACTTGGAAGATACGTCCATCGTCAGTTCCAACAGTTGTTGTGACACCACTGTTGTCCAAGGAGAGATGGTAAACAGCATCTGGAATGAGGTTGAGCAGGTCTGTGCCTGCAGGACCAGGGCTAAAGGTGACTCCGAGGATGACAACTTCAACACAAGTGACCACAACTAGCAAACGTCGCACAAAAGGTTGAAAGACACCCTGGCGAGGCTTCACCAGAGCAACTCCGACAATGGTTTCAGCCAGACGATCGTAATAAGCCGTGTCTACGCCCTGTAGAAAATTTTTATAAATTTATAACATTCTTCGATAAAATATCAATTTTTTACCTGGTCATATGACCAAAGGTAGAGGTCACTGTCAATTGTCATCCAAGCTCTGTGGATGTCTGGGAAGAGGCCTTGCTTGCTGTGGTAGTGAGAAGCCCTAATGTGCTGGCTAATTTCTCTAGGCAGAGGAACTTGGCCGACGTTTTGAATCTACAAATTTTATTACGTATTAAAATATTTTTTCTTGTGGATTTTCAAAATAACCTGTTTAACATTGACTCCGTGAAGAATTGAGTCTAGAGCCACATAGTCCATATCACCGAGGCCACTGGCCGTGTGAAGACAGTGCTGGGACACCTTTGTGGTCTCCAGCAAAGTTGGAAAAGAGCTGTCTGCGGCTAGGGCTCTCTCCACGCCATTGCCGGCGGAGGACAGCAAGTCGACCACCAGCGGTGCAGACATCACAGTCGTTTGGTTCCTCGGGGTGAACATGACTGTCCAGACGCGTTATTTAGTCCAGAGGATCTATAATAAGGGAAATTTATTAACACTAAACACATTGTTGGGGTCGAGTGTGTTTGATTTGTTGAGATTGAAAATTAACACAACACCCACGGAACTTTTAACGTACGGTTCTTGTTAAGCTGTGTGCGAACCTTTGAGGATTTCCAATGAAAATATATCTTGTATCCTGCACTTTTGTAAATTCACTTAACTTTTCCGGTTCGACGGGGTCTTCCGCCGACCGGTTAAATCCAAAAACGCACGCCGCAATACACAAAAAATCAACAACAGGCGTGAAGGAGACTAAAATTCCAAAGAGCTTTTCTTGCAGTGTTTTCCGTTTGCGCGCGACATCAGGGGGTACCAACATAATTTATTCTATTAAAGAAATGTCTCTGATTTTCAATAACATTTAATTATTTTTAGATAAATCAAGTATTCCTTAAAAGGCATGGAGAAATTAAAAAAATATATTTATATAAAAACTGCGAAGATTCCAATTTGCCAGTTGCCACTCTTGTTATTTTGTTGGTATCATAGCTCTCCCGTTGCCATGGTGATCTTTGGTTGGTCCTCGCTGGCCTGAATTCCACTGCGAAAATTAGCCCGCGAATTTGAAAGCTGCATGCGCCGAAGTTGCAACAGCCACTCTCCTTAATGATATAGATCTTGAATCCTTTTTAATGCACCGTGGAAATATTTTATCGCATTTGGTGAGTTTTCAGCTGTGCAGAAATTAAAAAAGCATTCATAAAAATCGGTTGAAGAGTATTAAATAATTATATTAAATAACTACCCACTTTGCAGATTACGCTAGAAAGAAATGGGAGAGGATAAAAAACTTGACGCCTGTGTTAAAAAAACCCAAGATGCTCTAGGGAAGTATTTGAAAAAGCCACCCTTGACAGAAAAGCTTCTCAAGAAGCCTCCATTTAGATTTCTTCATGATATTATAACTTCTGTAGGTTTATATTTTGAAGCAAATTTGAGAATTTCCAATTTCACCTAAAAAAATTTGACAGGTGATAAAGCAATATGGACTGATGCAGGGTTTGTTCACCCCCGCCGAAATGGTTTCTGACAATGTTAAGGAGAAAGACGCCAAAATCATATTTCTGCAGAAAGTCGTTGACACAATGAGTAATGTCGAAAACACTAAGAATAATTTTTTTATGGAAATAAATTAATAACATTTAATTTCAGTTTTGATCAGTAAAGAAAATTTATCTGTCAAGCCGTCAAAAATTGTTGCCGGACAGGAACCCGAAAAGACGAATGAACTTTTGCAAGCTATTGCCAAGGCCTTGGAGAGAAAGGTATCATCTTGAAAACTCGGCAAACTTTTTTGCCTAACGGAGAATGAAATATTTAATATTATTCTGCTTACAGCTTGACAGTACGTCTGCGGTTCAAGAAGTTCTTGGAAACAATACTCATGATCGAGGTTCTAATGGAAAAAAGAGCAAAGCTACTGTAAGTTCTATTTGTTATAAATTCCACCAAAATTTAGTAAAATATCATCAATAAATTTTAGATGCAAGCTGTAAATGGACACTCGAGTAAAAAAGATGAAAAACTAACCAGAACAAGACCTAGAAGAAGCGACTCAAAAGATTCACAAGATAGCCCAGACAGACCAAAAGAGTATGAAAATGTATAATTTTGAAAGAACTTAACAGATAGATAGAGATAGAGTATTTATTGAACACAACTAGGTGTACAACAGGTGTCTAAAGCTAATTTGTCTTCCTAAAATTAATTTTACAATTAAGCTTGTTTCGATAATTATTACAAAGTACAAAATTAGTTAATTTTGATTTTTGCAGCCTCTCTTAGGCTTAGTTTTCGTTCATTACATTCAAGAATATGATATTGTGAACATTTCATACCGCAGTGCTTGCATTCACAATCTATTGTCGCTTGAGAATGAAAATTTTTATTCTTACAAAATAAATAGTGGTACCCGTGACAGGCAAATCTCGTAAACACTTGGCGATCACTGAACATTGCACATTGCCAATTTTTATTCTTCATAGTTTCTGTCTCGTAGAACTCATCACATATCTCAAGTTTGTTTAAATATTTAGACACACAAAATTTCTGGAATGCTTCAGTTTCAGTTAGAGAATATTTTACCTGTAAGTCCGATACAAAGAGATCAGTGTCAACTAATTCATACACAAATCTAGATCTAATATACTTGGACAGTCCTAAAACTCTTTTTAAATATCTTGTTTTGACTTTTTCAAGATTTTCAAAATCAGTCTTTGTTAGGAAAGGCCATATTTCTTCAATGCCGTAGGACGCAATTGGGGAAATTTTTAGATCAAATAGCTTGTGTGCTGTTTCAATGGATAATTGTTTTAGTTCTCGTATATTATAAGTGGCCAGCAATGCAGCTCTTGTTCTTTTTTCAATGTGCTTTCCAAAAGAGATTCCTGATGGTTGAAAAGTAACTCCTAAATATGTAAACTCAGCAACTCTCTCTATTTCAATTCCACCTAAATCTAGGCGGTCACTTAATGCATATTTTCCTAGACCCTTATTTCTAAATTTCATGAATTTGCACTTTTCCAAGTTAAGTTTCAAACTGCGTTTTAACAAAAATTCTTTCATTCTGGCTAAAGCAATTTTCAAGTCACTTAATTTTTCTGAGGTTAAAACAATATCATCTGCATAATAAATGGCTTTCACGTTTGGCAAATCTCGTAGAATATTATTTATATCAGCTAAAGAGTAATTGAACAGAAATGGGGACGTGCATCCCCCCTGTCTTACCCCATTTGATTGTGTAATAAGTTTTGATACTGTTACTCCATCTACTATTCTCAAGAAATTTAAGTCTAAGTTGTGAGCTAAATAATTTAACTCCGTGAACGTTAGCTTCTTGCTTTCTATTAACTTCTTAAAAATAAACGCCCTATCTATTGAGTCAAAAGCTTTACTTACATCCAAAAATAAGGCATATAAGGGTGATTTCTTCTTATAAACTGTCTCTTGAATGTTATTAACTAAGGACTTAATTGCCTGTAAAGTGGATTTTCCTTTCACAAAACCATATTGATTGCCTGGAATCTCGTGAATCAAAGATGAGTAGATACGTGCATGCAGTACACGATCTAACAGATTGTAAAAAGCCGAACTAATACACATTCCTCTATATGAATTTGTATTTTCCGCGTCCCCTTTTCCCTTATACAAGAGTTTTAGATTTGACTGCCTCCATTCCTCTGGACATGTTCCTAGCTCCAAGCATTTGGTGAAAAATTGCGTTATTTCGGGGAGTAAGGATTCAACAAGTAGTTTAATATTTTCATTCTTCACTTTGTCAGGTCCAGGGGATTTCCCGTTTTTCATTTTCTTTAATGCTAACAAAACTTCTTCTTCCATAATAGGTGAAAAATTTATATCATTTCTGTAATCTACTATCATCTCTTTCAGATTTAACGATTCATTTTCACTCAATTTTTTCTCGTTGAAAATTTTTTCAAAATTGCACTCCCATTCATCCATCATTATATTGTTTGTATTGTAAAAACTTTTGCTCAACTTGAGAATTTTATAGCACTTGTTCTGCTCCGCCTCTTTTAAAATGTCCAACTCCTTCATTTGCACAAAAGCGTTCTTCTTCATTTCACACATATTTTTGTAATTTCTTTTTATTGCGGTATAGTGCGGTAATAGAATCTTGATTATACTAGTTACATTTAAACTTTCAGCCACTTCCAAGCACTCTCTCCATTCGTTCAATTTCTGTTTTAATTCGTAGCATTCAGAATCAAACCACGGTTGACTAATCCGTTCAGTTTGCCTACGAGGAATGTCGGCCTCTTTCATAATATTTATCATATTTTTATAAAACTCTTCAACGTCCCCCTTTTCCAGATTTGTTTTTAGAATATTTTTATATTTAGTCTCAATAAGCTCTTTAAGTATGTTTTCATCTAATTTAAAATTTTTCTTATTCAAAGACATGTCCCCATTTCTGTTCTTTTGTTTTGTGAAATTAAATTCTATTGAAATAAAATTATGTTTTCTTATGGTTGGGCAAATTTTAAAATTTTCGGTGTAAATTTTTGACCCTTTGAAGATTAAATCAACCACACTATGACCATTACTACAGTCGTAGGTACTTTTATATGGATATTCATTTACTATTGTCAGACTGTTTTCCTCAGCAAAATCAAGCAGCGAGTCAATTTTTCTGTTTTTAGTATCCAGTCGGCAATTAAAGTCTCCAGCCAAAATGAAATTTTCAAAATTTTCAACATATTTAAGGATTGAGAGAAGTTCATTAGTCACTGTTGTAGAACGTATCTTCGGATTTAAATAGCATGTTACTACTGTAATGTCATCAAAATTTAGAATTATGAAGTTTTCCAAATATTTCACATTTAGTAAATTTCCTAACCTAGAATTAAAATACACGGAAATTCCCCTCATCGGTCGCCCTGCCTCCTTTTGTGAAGCTAAAACTTGCCTTGAATAAAAACCAGGAATGTGAAGTGGTTTCTTTAAAAATGTTTCCGTGAAAAGAAGAATATCATAATTTTGCAGTTCTGTTGCAATCGGAGATTCATATGCTTTCGTAAGACCTTCACAATTCCAAAGCCCTAATTTTAAGTTACTCACGTCGCTGTTTCGACAAGGGAAATCTATAAAGAAAGTTTCTCACGAGCACCACAGTTGCGCTTGCTTCTCTCCCTGGGTGCAACAGTCTGCGAATTAGATAGAGTATTTATTGAACACAACTAGGTGTACAACAGGTGTCTAAAGCTAATTTGTCTTCCTAAAATTAATTTTACAATTAAGCTTGTTTCGATAATTATAACAAAGTACAAAATTAGTTAATTTTGATTTTTGCAGCCTCTCTTAGGCTTAGTTTACGTTCATTACATTCAAGAATATGATATTGTGAACATTTCTTACCGCAGTGCTTGCATTCACAATCTATTGTCGCTTGAGAATGAAAATTTTTATTCTTACAAAATAAATAGTGGTACCCGTGACAGGCAAATCTCGTAAACACTTGGCGATCACTGAACATTGCACATTGCCAATTTTTATTCTTCATAGTTTCTGTCTCGTAGAACTCATCACATATCTCAAGTTTGTTTAAATATTTAGACATACAAAATTTCTGGAATGCTTCAGTTTCAGTTAGAGAATATTTTACCTGTAAGTCCGATACAAAGAGATCAGTGTCAACTAATTCATACACAAATCTAGATCTAATATACTTGGACAGTCCTAAAACTCTTTTTAAATATCTTGTTTTGACTTTTTCAAGATTTTCAAAATCAGTCTTTGTTAGGAAAGGCCATATTTCTTCAATGCCGTATGACGCAATTGGGGAAATTTTTAGATCAAATAGCTTGTGTGCTGTTTCAATGGATAATTGTTTTAGTTCTCGTATATTATAAGTGGCCAGCAATGCAGCTCTTGTTCTTTTTTCAATGTGCTTTCCAAAAGAGATTCCTGATGGTTGAAAAGTAACTCCTAAATATGTAAACTCAGCAACTCTCTCTATTTCAATTCCACCTAAATCTAGGCGGTCACTTAATGCATATTTTCCTAGACCCTTATTTCTGAATTTCATGAATTTGCACTTTTCCAAGTTAAGTTTCAAACTGCGTTTTAACAAAAATTCTTTCATTCTGGCTAAAGCAATTTTCAAGTCACTTAATTTTTCTGAGGTTAAAACAATATCATCTGCATAATAAATGGCTTTCACGTTTGGCAAATCTCGTAGAATATTATTTATATCAGCTAAAGAGTAATTGAACAGAAATGGGGACGTGCATCCCCCCTGTCTTACCCCATTTGATTGTGTAATAAGTTTTGATACTGTTACTCCATCTACTATTCTCAAGAAATTTAAGTCTAAGTTGTGAGCTGAATTAGGGGCATCATTTAGCTGCTCTCCGTCATCCGGCTTCCCTCCAGTCTCTTCTTCTTCCTCTCCGGCCTCCTTTGGGTTGAACAAATTCCCACAGTTTCCCCAGCGTTTGGAGACATACTTGTTGTACAGATGAACAGTGACAGGGACATCTCGAAGTTCTTCGTACAGAGTGTCCAAGACCCAGAGGCGATGCAGCCTGTCCATGCCACTGCACATGTAGGTCATTGCAATCTCATCAATCTCTTCCTCTCGAATGACTTGGGCCAGCTTAGCAAATGCAGTCTTCACTCCCTTTAGGAAAGGCTCAGGTGCTTTGTGCAACTTGTGGGGGGACCTCATTTTAGTTACCACGTGAAACACAGTACCGTACTTTTCAGTCTTCTCTCTGATGATTCCGCCTATTTCAGTCTTTCCCGGCTCAGCTTTCGGTTTGCCCACCGCCGCCGTAACCTCTTGTGCAGCCCCCATGCTGGTCCAGAGATCAGAGGCTATGGCGTGTGCCTTTATCTCTTGCTTGGCATCCAGTAGACTGACCCCTTGATGTTCAACAAACTTGACCTTGGCTCCCTCCACTGCGAGCGACTCATCATTCTTCAGGGCCTCATCGAGTTGGGCAGAGCGATCGATGTATTGGTTCACGCAGGGTGTGTCATCAGCCTTTGTCAGAGGAGCAATTGGTGGATAATAACCTCTCTGATACCTGCCGTGAAATTGCCTCCGTCTGTTATCTGTACCGCTCGACTCATTTTCTGCATTCTTCTCGTAGAAAAGGACCTTCCGCTCAAGCTCCCTCAGCTTAGCCTCGTGCTTCTCATCTCTCTCCTTCCAGGACAAACGTTCCTTTTCGAATTCCTCCTGCATCAAAGATACTGTTTTACTGAACATTTCGCCAAGTTGGTCATTCTGAATTTTGAGCTGATTTGAGAATTGCAGCGTGACATGCTGGAAAACACGCTGAATGATTTCCTCCAACGTTACTACAGCTCCCGGAGGAGCCGGACCTCCTGCGTAAGTCTGTCCAAAACCTCCTGAGTTGAGAACTGGTCCATTGTTTCCATTTTGCAGAGGGTTTGGCGCCATCTCCTGTCCGGGGGTGGGTGGAGTTCCTTCGGGCCATGCTGGATGATGGAATTTTGCTCTATTTTCTGTATGTCCGTAAGAAGGGCCACAATTTATGGGTGGCTGGGCAGCGTACCCTTGTGGTGACCTCCACGGCACATGTGCAGATGCCATGGCCTTCAACTCAGGGAAAAAAGGCGAAATTAGACACACGACCCTCCTAAACCAGTGTTTTCCTTACCGAAGCAGTGCTGCCTAAGAACTTAACGCTAAATTTTTTTGTCACGTCTGCGACTCCCCGAGTCAGCAGTTTTCACTTTGTCACGTTCGGCAAGGTCGCCCTTCGACTGCCGACACCTCAGGGTCCCACTTTGGCCCTTTTATTTTGGGACTTGAAAAAGTACACACGCTCGATTTGAGTGCTGATACCAAATTGAAATTTATTGCGTCCAAACCCAAAGTGCCAACCGCACAAAATTCATTACCAACATGACACCTCCGCCTCAAGTAATTAACTCACCACTAAAAAAAAAATGATTTTTGAAATTAAATATTTCTCAATTCAATTAAAAATTGTTCCTATCCTTAAACAAATTAATCTTTAGACAAATCTAAACTGAAAATTCACTTCTTCTTGGTCATGACAAAGTCCTTCAGATAAGCTGGCAATTTTTGTTCTCGTCTTGGACGACTTGGTGTCACCGACACTGGTGGATCTGGAGACTTTGCCTTCAAGACTGGCAGGGGCCTCAGAGGCGACCTCAAAGGGCTCGGAGGCGGCTTCAGAGGTGACTCCGGAGGCAAGGGCTGCGGTGGTTCTGGTTCAAGCACCACAGGAGGTTCCTCTGCTGGTGGCTGGTCCTCTGGGATCTCATCAGGTGGATCTGGTCCTGGGTTTAGAACAAGTGAGCCAGGAGGGTTGTTGTTGACAATCCTTTTCACCTGATCAGTATGTCTTTCAGCCAAGCCCATGGGCGTGTCAACCAAAACTCGTCTTGGCCCTAACTCTTGACGGACAATGCCAGGCTCCCATTTCTGTTTTGGGTTTCTGTAGCTCCTAATTACAACTGGTTGCTCCTGCTGGAGTGGTTTGAGAGGTTTTGCCTGCAAAGCCTCGATCATCTTTCTATCTCTGTTGGACTCTCGTTTCAGGGCAGCAGCATCAGGACGGAGTTTGTCCAGGAGAGTGAGAGGTTTTCGGCCCAGATTGAACTCAGCAGGGGACACTCCATACTTCTCACTGGGCGTGGAGTTGTGACCGAGCAGGAAACTATCCAGTCTATCTTCCCATTCTGGCTCAGGGACTTTCTTCAGGAAGTTCTTGATTGTCTGGACCGCTTTCTCTGCTTGGCCATTTGTCTGAGGACTATATGGTGGAGAGAAAACTAACTCAACTCCATTGCGCTCACAAAAATCCTCAAACTTCTTGGCTCTGAGTCCAGGTCCATTGTCACATGCAATGACGTCACACACTCCTTGACAAACAATTCGGAGGGCTACCTTGGAGTAATTTGTTCTTCACTGTTGACAGGGTGACATCAGACTGTGTTTCTCTCGTCAGCTCAGTCAACTTTGGCAACTGATTACAGGAGGTTTGTTCCAAGACTTGCAAAAATGCAATCTTCCCTTCCTCTTCTTCCTCCTCCTCCTCCTCGTTCTCCAAGTTGGGCAGTGGCATTCTAGATAAACAGTCAGCATTGGCATTTTTCTTTCCAGGGCAGTGTCGAATTTCAAAATTATAATCCCTCAGGATCAGACAATACCTTTTCAGTTTTGAGGGCAAGTCTTCTCTAATTGGCTTTCCTTTTCCAAAAATTCCTACGAGGGGCTTATGATCAGTCAACAGCTCAAACTTGTATCCCCACAAGTACTGTTTCAGCTTCTTTACACTCCAAACAATAGCCAGGGCTTCCAACTCAATCTGTGAATAATTATTTTCACTGCTCTTCAATGACCTTGAAATAAATATTACAGGTACCTCTTGACCCTTTTCATCCAGGTGACTCAGCACAGCCCCTAAGCCTCGACGACTGGCGTCACATGCAAGCCTAATAGGCCTTCTTGGGTCAAAATAGGTTAAGGCAATGCACTCCTGTAGCTTCTTGTTCACGCTTCGAATGGCGCTCTCACATTCCGCAGTCCACTCGAACTTGACTCCTTTTCTCAGCAATCTGTAAACAGGAGCCAGAATTGCAGCTTTTCCACTCACAAACCGCTCATACCCCAGCCACGAACGCAGTTCCTCGACGTTGGTGGGTGAAGGCATCTCCTTCAATGCCTGCAACTTTTCTTCAGTTGGCAGAACTCCATCCTGCGTAAATTTGTATCCGAGGTAGGTCAACTCTGGAACATTAAATGCACATTTTGAGATTTTGACTCTCAATCCATTCTTCAAAAGGGTTTCCAGCACATTTCGTGTGCGGCTTGTTAGCTCAACTCTAGTTTCAGCAAACACTAACAGGTCATCAAAATACACAAATACACCTGGCAGGTGTGCCACCATGATATACACTTTTTCTTGAAATACTGGCGGGCAAATAGAAAGGCCCGGAGGTAGGCGAAGAAATCGAAACCTACCCTTGTGAGTTGTAATCACCAACACCATGGACGACTCCTCGTCCACCTCGAACTGCAAGTATGCGTCCGCCAGGTCGATTTTTGTGAAATAACTTCCTGTCTTGACGGACCCTAGCAGCTTGTCAATAGAAGGAATCGGAAATTCAGCCGACGAACAGGCAGGATTCACTGTAGCACTGTAGTCGGCACACAGCCTGACTCCCTCTCCCTTCTCAACGTACACCACTGGCGTGGCCCACTCACTAAATAACACTTTCTCAATCACCTTTTTCTTCTCAAGTTCTTCCAACACTTTGTCTGCTTTTTCTCGTAATCCAAATGGCACTTGTCTTGACGGCAGCTGTACTGGTTTCACTCCTGGTTTAAGTGGAATATGAATTTTTCCTCCTTTCCACTTGCCCAGAGTCGGCTCAAACACTTGCTTCAAACTCCGCCGGCACCGACATCATCTTGTAGATACTTGGCAACTCTGGCTGCACTAGGTGCATATCTGGTCCAAGTCCTTTCAACACAGGAAGGCCCACAGTGATGCCCAATGGCTCAAACCAATTTCTGCCCAAGAGCGACGGCCCATTTCTCTCCATGACCAGCAGGTCAAGTTTCACCTCTGGCCTCCCCTTAGGTTGCAGCACCACTGGAACTTTTCCAAGAGCCAAGATTTCTCCTTCTTGGCCCCACGCTTTCATCTTTACTTTGGATGGCTGCACCACTGATTTGTCCTTGAAGTACTCGTTGAATGTCGACCGACCAATCAGACTGAAAGTGGCCCCTGTGTCGACCTCCATCTGGAGACTTTTCCCATTCACAGGGACACACATCAACACCTTGTTAGTTGACGAGATCACTGGAGAAGATGCTTCCACCTGGAGGAGGTAATTAGTGACAGCCTCATACTGCCCCCTTTCTTGATCATCTTCATCGTCCTCCTCTCCTTGACCTTCAACTAAATTGGTCTTGCTCTTCTTGTTGTTACACACTTTAGAAAGATGACCCACTTTTTGACAGGTCAAACATTTTGAGTTTTTGAATCTACAGTCCTTTTTCATGTGGCCCACCTGGCCACAAGCAAAACACTTGCCACTCTTCGGAGACTGGAAAACTTGCTGCTGCTGACTTTGATTTGCAGACACTCTTCCTCCCCCGAATTTTGGCTTGAAACTTCTCTGCTGCGACACTTGATTTACGTCAGCATTTCCTCTAGATGCAAGTGACTGGGCAGTTCTCTCTGCCGACTCATGAGCCATAATTTTAGCTTTCACAAATTTCAAAGTTAGTGTTTCATCATCTTCAGCCAACAGTTTCTCTCTCAGCTTATCATTTTTCAAACCTGAAATTAATCTGGCCACTAAGACTTCATCCTTATCACGGTATCCACTCTTTGTAGCCAAATTTGTCAATTCCGCGATGTAAACAGCCGCAGACTCCTCAGTTTTCTGACTTCTTGTGTTGAACTCATGCTTGTACACAATTTTCTTGGGCGCCTCACCCTGGTAGTACTCACGCAGCCGCTTCGTCAGGTCTCCGTAGGTCATCGAAAGGACACCTTCAGGGCAGACCTTTTCGGCCACTGCGAACGATTCAGGGTCTTGGTTGTCAAGAAACATGTTCCTCCTCTTGGTATCGTCGCTGTCATCTGTCAGTTCTTTCACCGCAAAGTGGATGTCCCACCTGCGCAAATATGCATCATATGTCAATGGTCCATTCACTTGAAACGGTTCAATTGCTTTCTTCATTATTAATAGTTACTTATCACACCTTAGAACATCCACTTTCTTAACACAAAGGCCGGATGACTCTGATAAATCCGGATAAAAAGCACTCGTCTCTGGTCTCCGCGTTTTGTTGCGTCAGCCGCGCACACGAGGTTCACTTCACTCTGTTTTCCACAGTTCTCGTCGCCACTTTGTCACGTCTGCGACTCCCCGAGTCAGCAGTTTTCACTTTGTCACGTTCGGCAAGGTCGCCCTTCGACTGCCGACACCTCAGGGTCCCACTTTGGCCCTTTTATTTTGGGACTTGAAAAAGTACACACGCTCGATTTGAGTGCTGATACCAAATTGAAATTTATTGCGTCCAAACCCAAAGTGCCAACCGCACAAAATTCATTACCAACATGACATTTTTCAACCAATATCTACAGAAAGCACAAAAAACCAAGAAGTGAACAAATGCAAAGTCAGGTGAAAGAGGAAGAACCTGTAGTTCAAAACGAAGTTGAAGAAAAAGTGGAACTGGCACCAGACTTTAAACCCTCAGCGCCTGTTTTGAGTCCAGTTACGACTCCAGTCAAAAGCAAAGCTGAAGAGGTATTTTTTTATGTTTTATATTTGTCAGTTAAAATATTCAATGAAATTTATTAGACCAACGATCCAAAACTTGATAATGGCAGCGCGACACTAAATAGTTTAAATAATAATGTTGAAATTGCCGAGGAAGCTGCGTTAGTTTTAGGAGAAAATGATGGTCCACAAAAAGCATCTAAGTAATATTTTTAATAGTTTTGCTGTAACGCATTAAATACATTTTCATAAATTTTAGTATTCCTGAAACAAGTGTGGGAAAAGTGGCAATGCCTCCGAGGCCAGCGTCAACTAGGCCTGGTTCTGCCAAGCCTCGACCTTTGACAGCTCGACCTGCGGCTCCTCGGCTCAAAGAAAGATTAGTGCAGCCTGCTGCAGAGGAAGTTATCCAGAATAAAGAGTAAGATTTTTCCAACGAAATTAGATATTTAAAAAAATATATTTTTAAAGGCCGACAAAAAGTCCTGAGGCTGTGTTTAGCAACAAAGATGAAGATGATAGTGAATTTGTTGTTGAAGAGGCTGTAGCAGAGGCAAAAGTATTTTTTAATACATGATAAAAAAAAATAAAAATCAAATTTTGAAAAGTTGGATAAGACTGTAGATGCTGCAGGCGCTTTAGAAGAGGAAGCGTCAAAAAGCGACCACGGAATTCTAGTTTCAAAAATACTTGGCACCAAGAGGGAACTTGAACCAACGCAAGATGCAGATCAAGTGATTTATATTAATAAAATAAAAATTGGATCAATCAAAACAAAACTCACTCTAATCAAAGGAGGTTCAATGGAAAGGCAACGAGGCAGTGAGGCAGGAAACGAATCGATTGAGAGATGGACTCCAAACGACGGTACGCGCTGTGAATCCACTGGCTCGGCTTTTGGACTTTCTGCAGGAAGACATTGAATCAATGCAGTCGGAGTTGGAGCAATGGCGCGCGAGTCTAGTACGCACCAAAGCCAACCTTAGGGCAGAGAGAAAGTGAGTAATTTTTAATTTAAACAAAAAGTGCAACTTAAAAAATTCTCCTTCAGCGTAACGGAAGAAACCTTGACGTCAATGAGGGCACAGTTGTCCGAGCTAGATAAAGCATTGGAGAGACAAGAGCACCTGAACACAGCAATCAGGACCAATATTTTGATGAACAACAACAAACAATATTATCACAACAGTAATTGATTAATATTTAAGGTGAAATAAATTCAAGAATTACACAGAATATCACTTTTATTGTCGGCCAACAGAGATTAATTTGTATTATTATTTGTTAAATATATGATTCATCTATACTCTCAGAATCTAAATTAAAGGCGTATGGTGCAATTTTTTGCTCCCTCAACAGGGCTTGCATGACTGTACCAGACTAGAGATGGAAAAAAGCAGGCCGATGTTGGTGGTGCAGTTTTTGGCATTAAGTAGACAGGAACCTTTTTTAATTTTGATATGAACCAAAATAAATTTTTTTTTTAACTCGGGAAAAATCTTAGGCAAGTTCCTATTTACTTAAAATCTAGTCTCAATAGGCCCTATTATTATTTATATTATTAGAAAATAGCTCTGCAAAGTATTATAGCCTCTTACAAGGGCTAAAAACTTTGTTTGCCCCAACAAAACCTTGAGATTTTTCAATCATTTCCCTACTGATTTCACACATACCCCATAAATGACATGCAGACTTACACAGCATGCAAATTGACCCATGCAATTTTATATCTGGCCAACTTGCAGGTAAGAGTGGACGTTCATTTAACGACCACCATCTTTTTCAACAAATATTATAAATTTAATTGATAATGTTCGTTTATCGATGATTTGATCACTCAAACGTACGGCGATATGTTTAGTGCAATTTAAAATTACGGTCTTGCCCTAGCCCTTCGTTATATTGTACCGTACTTCCGTCCAATTTCAGAGAAAAGCAAATAAATAATATTATAAGCTGCCAATGATTTCTTCAACAGGATTTTAAGTACACAAATGCATTTAGGACAATGAAGTAGGGGCACTTGGGTGTTCGACAGACTAAAATCATGAGACGCAAGGAGCAACTGATAGGCAAGACCTTACTTGAATTGAGGTTTGACGGCTACAAGTATTATTGAAAATTTAGATTACTTTCTTCAGTCTGACGAGGAAATCACAATTCGAAGATGGCATCCTGGCTTTGCTCCAGCTTTTGCTTTAGTCGCGAATCAGTGGCCTCGGCAGTAGGCTGCAATCTGAGCCGAGAGACACAAGCGCGGCGCCGAGGTTGCGAGTCCTCCTCTTCGAAGGAAAATCTGCAATTGAGAATGTGGAATTTTTACTCCCTAGCCTTTACATTTTCCCTGAATAAAAATGTTTATAAAATTTTATTTAGTATTTTTTTTCTTCTAATTTTCGAAAATTTGAAACTTACTGGCTCTTGGACTGGAACTTGTTCACTTGATGCTTAGTGTGAGCAATGGCTGTATCAATTTTGCACAAAAACTCTGACGGACTTGTCTCTGACCGATCACAGGGCGTCGGGACACTAGTGGTGTGCGGCCGACTTTCCCTCAGGATGGCGCTAGAGTTTTCCTCGGGACTGCTGCTGTCGCTCGAATTTCCACTGTCGGCCGACGAGAAAGCTCCAGTGCTTCCTGGGGTGGAGCCCTTGGCCGCTTCTTCACATGGCACAGGAATGAGCAACGTTTCACGGACAAACAGACTGTCCCCCGTCCACAGACGGTTGGCTCGTCTGATCTGCTCCATCTGTGGAAAACAAAATAAGTTTTCAATGAAATAGGTCGGGAGAAAATTCATCTACGGCAAATTTAAAATTAGACCCTTAAAATAATAATTTTAGTCCTCTTTGAAAAAATTTTCTTTTTTTGTATTAATTTCAAAAAAGGACTAAAAACCTGCATGTTAATGTCAATTGGATTTGCAACTGGAAAGAAGTGAGAAGCTAAGCCTCCTGGTCAAATGAGATAAGACGCACTTAACTACATTGGTTGGGAAAGGTAGATAAAAACCAGTGGGGTTCTTTGCCCACCTGCGAGTTGCTTTAAGTGAATATCAGTCGAGTGAACAATGCTGTTAAAAGTAGAACAATGGAAAAAGTGTCCCATGTGTGAGGGGAGTGGTAAGAGAAATTTGAAAATTATACATAGTTTTTTTTGCTTCTCTTATTACTGCAGACAAATTGTTAATTTTAAAAATCATTTTATGTGGGGATAAAATTAAAGTTTCACCACCGAGGTACCAACCGTTGTGCCATACTTGAGGGCCAGGCCCTGCAGGGTGTCCCCTTCCTCAATTTCATGCTGAATTGTGTTCATATTTTCAGGAGAGCGCATCACATGGTTGCTGGTACTGCCGTAGCGCTTCAGGGCCCTGTTAATGCTGCCATTACTCTGGCGTTCGTCTAGGCCTCCCTCTGCCATTTCTGCGCCTACTGCATCCTAGGGCTCTGTCACTCAAATCGAGACAAACCTGGAGGGCAGAAAATACTCATAATAACAATTTCATTGACGGAAATAGAGAATGCCCGAGTTGGGGAAAAATAGATTTTGATTTATTTGACGGGAAGATAAGAGTGTTGCGTAATAAGATACAGAAAACAACGATGAAAGTTTATTGCGGATGAACAGAAGGAAATTCCAAGATTTTGTTGTTGTTTGTGGTAATGCGCAAGCCTCACGTTTTTAAGATTTTGCAGTCCTGATCAGATCCCAGCTCTCTCACGACGACCCAAGGCGATTTTCTCACAAAGCCATCATACTAATCGTTGAAACATATGGCCAAATAATATACTATTTTGGACAAGATTGCGAAATTTGTAACGCGACAACGATTTGCATTCTAAATTCAGATCATCAAAATTCTGCCTCTGCTGATGATAAATGAGGTGGGCGTGGGCGCGGTCAGCATCGTGAAGTTAGCCAGAAATCCTAGCCAGTCGCCGGAAGTTAGCCAGTTGGCTGGAAATTGGCCACTCGCGTCATTTGGGCGGATGTATCGAATATCGATTCCCGATTTTTTAAAGTGGGGATCATAGGGGAGGTGAGTATTTATCGCAACTTTTTACAGTTGACCTTCTAATATTCTTCTCATACACCAAGTCGCAGCAATAAATCGCAGTGTTCTAAAAGTGCACGGAGGAAGGAATTTCAGAAGCTAATTTGAAAAACAGTTCCAATGGTCTTAAAAAAATTATATTTAAAAGTAAATACAACGAAAATTATATTTAAAAGAAAATACAACGAAAATTAATCAAGCCGAGGGACGCATGGGTAAAACTAAAAATAATGCAAAATCCCTAAGCCTAATCAACAATTGCAAATTTTTGTTTTGCGAATTTTGAAAAAATATCAATTAAAAATTAATGGAAATTTTAAATATGTAAAATAGGCAACAATCGATGGCTGCAACTTTATTTACACGAAATTAAAAATATTGAAAATTAAAACAATAAAACTTAAAAACAAATGCGCTAAAACCATGCATTGGAACTTAGAGAAATTTTAATCAAAGTTAACCTTCATCACCCTGAACAAGAAAAACTGCCAGCCATCGATGGCCGCATCATAGTTTATAACGAAAAAATAATTGAAAGTTTGAAAATTTGGAAAAAAGGCAATAAATTTTACTCGGAGCGGCATTGCACAAAAACTATGCATTGGAAGTTAATGCTGTTAATGTAATTTTAATAAAAGTTAGCCCTTATCATCCTGAATGCCTGAATGTAAAAATCTGCCCGCCATCGATGGCCGCATCACAGTTTTTTAAGAAAAAAATAATTAAAAGTTTGAAAAAATGGTAAAAAGGCAATAAATTTTACTCAGGGTGGCGTTGCACAAAAACAAAGGATTGGCAGCAAATGTAATTTTAATCAAAGTTAACCTTCATCACCCTGAACATAAAAAAAGGCCAGCCATTGATGGCCGCGACTTAGTTTTTTTATTTGCAAAATAATAAGTTAAAAAAAAATTAAAAAATTTTCAAAAATAATGCTAAAAGTGGAATTGCTCGAATACTATGCATTGGAAGTTAATGAAATTTTAATCAGAGGTAACTTGAATCATCTTGAACGTAAAAATGTGTCAGCCATTGATGGCCGCGACTTTGTTTTTTTATTTGAAAAATAATAAGTTGGGAAAAATTAAAAAAAAAAAATCAAAAATAATACTAAAAGTGGAATTGCTCGAATAGTATGCATTGGAAGTTAATGAAATTTTAATCAGAGGTAACTTGAATCATCTTAAACGTAAAAATGTGCCAGCCATTGATGGCCGCGACTTTGTTTTTTTATTTGAAAAATAATAAGTTGGGAAAAATTAAAAAAAAATTCAAAAATAATACTAAAAGTGGAATTGCTCGAATACTATGCATTGGAAGTTAATGAAATTTTAATCAGAGGTAACTTGAATCATTTTGAACGTAAAAATGTGCCAGCCATTGATGGCCGCGACTTAGTTTTTTTATTTGAAAAATAATAAGTTGAAAAAATTGTCAAAAATAATGCTAAAAGTGGAATTGCTCGAATACTATGCATTGGAAGTTAATGAAATTTTAATCAGAGGTAACTTGAATCATCTTGAACGTAAAAATGTGTCAGCCATTGATGGCCGCGACTTTGTTTTTTTATTTGAAAAATAATAAGTTGGGAAAAATTAAAAAAAAATTCAAAAATAATACTAAAAGTGGAATTGCTCGAATACTATGCATTGGAAGTTAATGAAATTTTAATCAGAGGTAACTTGAATCATCTTAAACATAAAAATGTGTCAGCCATTGATGGCCGCGACTTTGTTTTTTTATTTGAAAAATAATAAGTTGGGAAAAATTAAAAAAAAATTCAAAAATAATACTAAAAGTGGAATTGCTCGAATACTATGCGTTGGAAGATAATGAAATTTTAATCAGAGGTAACTTGAATCATCTTGAACGTAAAAATGTGTCAGCCATTGATGGCCGCGACTTTGTTTTTTTATTTGAAAAATAATAAGTTGGGAAAAATTAAAAAAAAATTCAAAAATAATACTAAAAGTGGAATTGCTCGAATACTATGCATTGGAAGTTAATGAAATTTTAATCAGAGGTAACTTGAATCATCTTGAACGTAAAAATGTGTCAGCCATTGATGGCCGCGACTTTGTTTTTTAATTTGAAAAATAATAAGTTGGGAAAAATTAAAAAAAAAATTCAAAAATAATAATAAAAGTGGAATTGCTCGAATACTATGCATTGGAAGTTAATGAAATTTTAATCAGAGGTAACTTGAATCATCTTGAACGTAAAAATGTGTCAGCCATTGATGGCCGCGACTTTGTTTTTTAATTTGAAAAATAATAAGTTGGGAAAAATTAAAAAAAATTCAAAAATAATACTAAAAGTGGAATTGCTCGAATACTATGCATTGGAAGTTAATGAAATTTTAATCAGAGGTAACTTAAATCATCTTAAACGTAAAAATGTGCCAGCCATTGATGGCCGCGACTTTGTTTTTTTATTTGAAAAATAATAAATTGAAAAAATTTTCAAAAATAATGCTAAAAGTGGAATTGCTCGAATACTGTGCATTGGAAGTTAATGACATTTAAAACAGAGGTAACCTTAATCATCTTAAACATAAAAAAGTGCCAGCCATTGATGGCCGCGACTTTGTTTTTTTATTTGAAAAATAATAAGTTGGGAAAAATTAAAAAAAATTTCAAAAATAATACTAAAAGTGGAATTGCTCGAATACTATGCATTGGAAGTTAATGAAATTTAAATCAGAGGTAACTTAAATCATTTTGAACGTAAAAATGTGCCAGCCATTGATGGCCGCGACTTAGTTTTTTTATTTGAAAAATAATAAGTTGAAAAAATTTTCAAAAATAATGCTAAAAGTGGAATTATTCGAATACTATGCATTGGAAGTTAATGAAATTTTAATCTGTGGTAACTTGAATCATCTTAAACGTAAAAAAGTGCCAGCCATTGATGGCCGCGACTTAGTTTTTTTATTTGAAAAATAATAAATTGTAAAAAATTAAAAAATTTTCAAAAATAATGCTAAAAGTGGAATTGCTCGAATACTATGCATTGGAAGTTAATGAAATTTTAATCAGAGGTAACTTGAATCATCTTGAACGTAAAAATGTGTCAGCCATTGATGGCCGCGACTTTGTTTTTTTATTTGAAAAATAATAAGTTGAAAAAATTTTCAAAAATAATGCTAAAAGTGGAATTATTCGAATACTATGCATTGGAAGTTAATGAAATTTTAATCTGAGGTAACTTTAATCATCTTAAACGTAAAAAAGTGCCAGCCATTGATGGCCGCGACTTAGTTTTTTTATTTGAAAAATAATAAGTTGTAACAAATTAAAAAATTTTCAAAAATAATGCTAAAAGTGGAATTGCTCGAATACTATGCATTGGAAGTTAATGAAATTTTAATCAGAGGTAACTTGAATCATCTTAAACATAAAAAAGTGCCAGTAATTGATGGCCGCGACTTGGTTTTTTTTTTATTTGAAAAATAATAAGTTGGGAAAAATTAAAAAAAAAAATCAAAAATAATACTAAAAGTGGAATTGCTCGAATACTATGCATTGGAAGTTAATGAAATTTTAATCAGAGGTAACTTGAATCATCTTGAACGTAAAAATGTGTCAGCCATTGATGGCCGCGACTTTGTTTTTTTATTTGAAAAATAATAAGTTGGGAAAAATTAAAAAAAAATTCAAAAATAATACTAAAAGTGGAATTGCTCGAATACTATGCGTTGGAAGATAATGAAATTTTAATCAGAGGTAACTTGAATCATCTTGAACGTAAAAATGTGTCAGCCATTGATGGCCGCGACTTTGTTTTTTTATTTGAAAAATAATAAGTTGGGAAAAATTAAAAAAAAATTCAAAAATAATACTAAAAGTGGAATTGCTCGAATACTATGCATTGGAAGTTAATGAAATTTTAATCAGAGGTAACTTGAATCATCTTGAACGTAAAAATGTGTCAGCCATTGATGGCCGCGACTTTGTTTTTTAATTTGAAAAATAATAAGTTGGGAAAAATTAAAAAAAAAATTCAAAAATAATAATAAAAGTGGAATTGCTCGAATACTATGCATTGGAAGTTAATGAAATTTTAATCAGAGGTAACTTGAATCATCTTGAACGTAAAAATGTGTCAGCCATTGATGGCCGCGACTTTGTTTTTTTATTTGAAAAATAATAAGTTGGGAAAAATTAAAAAAAAATTCAAAAATAATACTAAAAGTGGAATTGCTCGAATACTATGCATTGGAAGTTAATGAAATTTTAATCAGAGGTAACTTGAATCATCTTAAACGTAAAAATGTGCCAGCCATTGATGGCCGCGACTTTGTTTTTTTATTTGAAAAATAATAAATTGGGAAAAATTAAAAAAAATTTCAAAAATAATACTAAAAGTGGAATTGCTCGAATACTATGCATTGGAAGTTAATGAAATTTAAATCAGAGGTAACTTAAATCATTTTGAACGTAAAAATGTGCCAGCCATTGATGGCCGCGACTTAGTTTTTTTATTTGAAAAATAATAAGTTGAAAAAATTTTCAAAAATAATGCTAAAAGTGGAATTATTCGAATACTATGCATTGGAAGTTAATGAAATTTTAATCTGTGGTAACTTGAATCATCTTAAACGTAAAAAAGTGCCAGCCATTGATGGCCGCGACTTAGTTTTTTTATTTGAAAAATAATAAATTGTAAAAAATTAAAAAATTTTCAAAAATAATGCTAAAAGTGGAGTTGCTCGAATACTATGCATTGGAAGTTAATGAAATTTTAATCAGAGGTAACTTGAATCATCTTGAACGTAAAAATGTGTCAGCCATTGATGGCCGCGACTTTGTTTTTTTATTTGAAAAATAATAAGTTGAAAAAATTTTCA